CAAAGTAAATATTTATTTTCACTATTAATCACTAGGCATATTTATAATTAAAAGAAACAGGTGTTTAAAAGTAATTTGTAAGTACAAAAATATTTAAAAGTTAAAGACGTGTCAACATTGGGGTAAGTTTTAAAATTTACAAAAAATAAAATTATTCTGGTGGTATGTGTAATCGTTGGGTAAAGTAGATGGGGTGCCGTAGAGTAGGTGTTTTGATATATTATTCTAGTAACTAGGGGTCGGTAATTAAATTCTAGCCTCTGCAGGGTAAAAAATAGGTTCATCAAAAATTTATGTTTAATTTACTAAACGGATTTAGGATAATACTAATTTTCAAAAAGCTGACCCAGGGCAAATGGTATTTTTTTTTCATTTAAGTACATTTTCAGAAAGACGTCCCAACGATCCGAGTACCTCATAGTTACCTAAACCGTCTTGGATGAAACGGCTTCTACCCCGTGGAAGCCAACTGGAAGAGGCGGTAGACCGAGGCTACTCATCATTAAATAGCCTAGACCCGGAAAGCAGGAACGTGGAAAGAGGAGAAAGGAATTTGGCTTGGGCCTAATTGCCTGGGAGACGAAGAAGCTGCCGTGTTGCGGGGGACGACGGTATTCACCCGACGCCAACCCGTCAACATTAAATCACATTAATTACTCAAAGTCTATGACTGATCTTACTCGTTAAAGATTTTAAACACTCTATACTTTATTATAAATATAATTTATAATCAGTACTTATTAATTTTTTACGTCTGTTGAATAAGTATTTTTTTGAGAGAATATGTATTTTATTGAGAGATCAACATCAATATTTCTTAAATTTTCATCTGGCCTGCCCAAAACAAGATTCAGAAATATTTATATCTATGTAAAAAATTTATCAAGGTAGAATTGTGGTGGCCCAATGTGTCATGGCACTAGAAAGCGCCTTGAAAGGATGCGGCACAATAATCACCAAGACAAAAATTAAACATTGTAAATATACACATAAGTTTCTCTGCGTTGTCTTCCGGCGCGATGTTTGTTAAAACAAAGACATTAGCGACGAGACTAGCTACCCAATGAATTTTTATTATTAAATACAATTTAAAGTTGGGTTGGATTTATTGTTAAAATAAAATAATTTAAACAAATTTAATGTTTAAAATATTATTTGATATTTATTTCCACAACAATAAAAATAAAATATTATTAATGATNTTATTGTTAAAATAAAATAATTTAAACAAATTTAATGTTTAAAATATTATTTGATATTTATTTCCACAACAATAAAAATAAAACATTATTTTTAAATGAACACATTAAATTTAATTAAAAGATTTACCAAAACAAAATTCACTTTAAAATTCCTAAGTGTCATTTAGTTTTAAAGAAAAATATTCTAAGTCCAAATTAATTAAAAAATCGATTAAGACCCGGAAAGTGAAATCATGAGTAGAGTGTCGTAGATTTCGTGTCTATTAAAATTGCCGTAAGAACTGGTTTAGACGGGAAAAAATGGCTTTTTATAGTCTAAAGGGAGTAGCCCAGCGATCCCTACCGTGATCCTGGAAGCTGAGGCTTTGTATTCTAATTGGTTAATTATAATGAGGACTCTGCGTGTAGGCGTTACTTAATAGTCTCTACAATAAGTAGATTTGATCGCATAATTAAAGGGTTATTTTGTATTTTAAATAAGAGAACCCTGTTTTGGTAACTTGTATAATGGGTCATTCCATGTGAAATCACCTAATGTGTGTACTGGTATAGTTCAGAAATTTATGAAATTTAAATCATAGACTTCTTAAAGGTCATTGACAACAAAAATAATATTCTAACCTAATATACCTAGCTTGTATTTATTCTGAGTTCTGTAGTAGATTAAGTTATTGGGACTCATAAAAAAATCCTAGGAGCAATGACTAAGTTCGGAAAAGCTCCATTACTTTTCTTTATAAAGTTAATTACATCAATAGATATTGTTGATTCTTCAAATACTTTTTGACAAATTAAGAATTTTTCAAATAAATCATAGGCACAAATATCTTTTTCGTCTTCAGATTAAAGATGTAATACCAAGTCCATATATTTAGATCTAATAATTTTTTGTTTTTAAGAACTAACCTATTAATGTATAACATTGTATTTGATTATAATTAGTTTAATTATAATTAGGTATGATGCAAACAGATATAAGACTTGTATTTATATATAATATATAAATAGAATTAAATTATAATGTAGAATAAATTATAAGGAAATTTATAATAAAAATTATTCTATAATACACTCAAAAATATAACACATTTTATTATATTTTTAGAATAATAAAATGATCTAAAATACATAATATCTGAAAAAATTACGACTTTAAAATTAGTTGCTTACAATGGTATGTAGTATTTTATTTTCGTGTAGAATAAATGCAAAAAATTAAATGTTGAAAATTACATAGTTTATGACTTTTCCATAAAACGTAAATGATAAATTTTGAAACTCTATAAGTGGTGTTAAAATTATTTTCTCTTAATATTGCCAAAAGAGCATAGTAAATTAATGGTCAGAAACAAGGTGTGATAGTATTAAAGCAATAAAGTTTCATGTCACATTCAAAAAATTATTGATGCGTTAGATGAAATATTATATACAACACATGATCCGCTAATTAAAAATCACACTAATTCATTAAATTTGGAAATTAGTACAATAGAAATCCTTATGAGTTTATATAATTGGTATACAGTATTTGTATACTACAGCATAGTAGTCGAAAAACCAACAATATCTATTAAATATATGAAAAAAAGTAATGGAGCTTTTCCGAACTTAGCCATTGCTCCTAGAATTTTTTATGAGTCCCAATAACTTAATCTACTACAGAACGCAAAATAAATACAAGAAATAAAAATTGAGTGTTGAAATTTACGTAGTTTGAGGATTTTCCATAATACGCAAATTGTAAATTTTGTAAATTCTATAAGTAGCGTTAAAATTATTTCTCCATCATCAAATTTTCACCAAACGTTTTAATTGCCTAAAGGAAAGTACTATGTAAATTTGAAAAAAATTCGTTCAGTCACTTTTGTGTAATAAGATAATAAAGTTGGCTATTTTCAGCAAACCACGCGTGTTCAAGACCGTAAAACGATACAAAAAAAATTATAAATCGATTCAAATATGATATGGGTTAAAAGAACATAACTAAAAGTTTCTGAAAAGAAAAAAAAATTTTTTGACCTTCAAATTTTGCTATTAAAATACTGCAAAATTTATAAATTTAAAATAAAAATTTCGATGTTCAAAAAAATTCAAAATTCATAAACTTAAGAATAAAATTGAAGTACTATTTAATATGAGTAAAACAGTGCTAGTTCCACAGTGATAGCTTATTTGGATGTGAAGTTATAGGCTCTAGAACATAGACTGTTTTTTCATGTTTTTAATTATAAAAAATGCGCTATCTGGTAAAAAAACAATAAAAAAAAATATATATTTGTTGGTTTTATAGATCACAACCTCAAGATTTGTTATTGCAATGTGTACAACAACTTTATGAAAGTTTTGTTAGGTTATGATTTGCCGATTTGTTATAAAGTAAATATTAAACTTTTTAATAATTGACGAAATCAAAAATTCTTTTGAATAAAATATTTTGGGTTTAGGCGTTGTTTTAAGAAATAATACATGAATCAAATTTTTACTATAAGGTAGAAAAAAAGTTTTTAAGAGATCAACGTTTCAAATAAAATCGTTAAAAATGTATGGTTATATTTTGTTATTGTAGTATAACCAGACACTTCTAAACAAGGCGTATAAAAAAAAAATTAATTTTTATTATTCAAGGGAATCGAGACACAAAGAAATTATTTTAAAGGATTTGATTAAAACCTCGATAAAGTATTTTCTGTTGGATTGATTTTTTTTTGTAAATGTCATCTTTTCTTTGAAATAAAGAACAGGTTTCCGAATTATTAATGATTATTGCTTAAATCAAGGGTGTCAGGTATGTTTTTGGTAGCATTGATATCACTATTCATTTATAGGAAGTGGTTGTGAAGACTCATTAATCATTTTAGAAACTAAAAATTTATGATACAGAATTTAAGTACGCAAATGTATATTTTGTGTATCGCAAATTATGCTACTGATTCAAGTTATGTATAATATATTGTAAATGTTTTCATATTGTTTAATAAATTTGTATTTGTAAAAGCTAAAAGATACAAATAAAGTTGATTATTGCATCGCAGCTAAAATCAATTGATTTGTAAACATATATAATAGAGCAATAGATCTAAATAATTTTGCGAACCAAATAAATGCATTACTTTTGTAGTCAAACAAATTGACCTAATTTACTGCAAATAAAATAGAATATACTAGTTTTTATATTAGATTTAACTCTGTGCAAGTAAACGTTTTATAGGACAAAAACCTATAAACTTTTTTTTTATTCATGTGGGTAGTGTCTTTAAAATCATACTTGTACCTAGGTTATTTATTAGATTTTAGTAGAAACAATACTGAAAGAAAGCTTTTTGTCTATACTATATCCTATAAAAACTTCATTTAGATCATTGCTTTTATAAAAAATAATTTTTTTTTAAAATTCCTATTTGTTTTCGGGTGTTAGATACCAGATATCCTAATATGAACTGGTATTACTACTAAACAAGGGATAAGTGCAGTTGTTTCCAATTGCCTTCTGCTTTGGGGACATGGTGTTTTTTGCCATCGTAAAACGCACAGTCATCCGTACACTACAGAGATAGCGTGGAATAACTCTAGAATTTTGTCAATATCCAATATGTCCACTACGCCACGCTTAAAAAGTAATAGCAATTTGAAAATGCAAATCATTTTTTAAAAATGACAGCTTTGTGGTTTTTGTAATATTTTTTTTATTGATATTTATTTTATTATGCAAATTTGAAACTATTATAACAAAACTTTGTTTAATAAGGGTAAATTTTTTATTTTGTTTTCTAAATAATCATAAAAACTAATTCTAAGTAATAATCATTATTTAATAATCACAAATAGTAGACCACATAATTGAGTATAATAACTTCTTAAAATTCAAGTTAGTACAATTTTTGAGGCCTAAAAAAATAACATTACAGTAAATTCCATATACAAGTTACATATTATTATTATGTATACAATAATAAAATTAATATTTCAGATGATTTAAATTAAAACACTCTAAACATTAGTGTAATTAATGAATTTTTTTTGTTTATCAAAATTTAGATTAAAAACATTTGTTTTGGATACAATATAACTCACAAATATTTAATCAGAGCACATATAATAACTTTTTACAAATAAAATTGTTTTTTATTATTACATTAAGTAATGATATTATAATTGTTAGTTGAAAATATATCACTAAAGTATACAATAATTAGTTAACATTTAAATAGAATGAGGTTTCTGTAAATATATAAATTAAGATGGCTTTGTCTTTTTGTGCAAAATAGCCTAACACAAACAATAAAAAATAAATAAAATAACAAAATTAAATGATCAGATATCAGAAAAATTTGATAAAATATAATAAAAAAGACAAGAGGAGACATTTCTTAAAATTATAAAAATGGGAAAAAAAATTTAGTATTGAGATCAGAGAGGATGTAAATGATTCTAAACAATAATACAAATTATGTACATGACACTACAAGCCTCACTGAAAATTTTCCTAAATATATGCAGTAATATTGATATTTTATTAATATGAACATGTTACATTTGAAATTGTATCTACAAAATGGAAGATAAATGTAACATTAAAAAAAAAAAATTACTGGAATACAAGTATAATAAAACTAGAAAAAACTGAATTAAAACATGAATAATAAATATGATTGAAAATTAATGTTACACTATAATTTTCTTTTTAAATATTCTTATTTGGAAAGACAAAGCAATCTTATGTCATTTTATCATATTATTATTTTTAATACATTATGGTTTGCTATGTGAAAACAGAATAAATATAATTTAGTCAATAATATTATTAAAATTAAGAATTTCAGAAAAGGTAATAGATATTAAAATAGTATTATATGACTAAACACATTTTAAATAATAATTGTTGTTAAATTTTTCTACTATTCCAACTAATAATTTAATTATAATAAAATAACAATAAAAGTAGCACTCATGAATAATACTTTTTCAACCATTCGGTGAAAAAAACCCACTGCAGAATTTGTGTTTATTATGATAGTAAATCTATAAAACAAAATTTATTTTAATGACACTTTCTATAAAAAAATAAAATAAGATAAGATAAAAAAATCTTTACCAACCATTAACAATTTGTTGTTCTGACCTATTGGTTTCTTGGTATGGAGCAAAATCAGATGTACTATCTTGGACACATTTACTGATACCAATGTCAATAATTTGAGTGGAAATTGTATTAGAAGGAATAGGGTCCAATGATAAATCCAATAAACTATTAGATACATTATTGATTGGTCTAAAAAATTTTTTATGATTTAAAATATTTATTTATTAGTTTTTTATTAGAAATTTGGTAAAACTTACTCAGAAACAAAACCATTAGCATTTTGTTGGTCATTGTTAACTGTAATACTACAATTTTGAAGAACATTACTATTGCTTGCATGACCGTTTTGTTTAGAAGTATCTTCTACTCCATTTATAAGTGAAGAAATATGACATTTTTCAGCATTTAAGAATGCATCATTAGATATTTGGTTTTGACTAGGGTATTCTATAACTGGTGATATTTTTTCAGTTTTGTCTCCAGAATTTAAATCAGTAGAATCAGTCTCTTCCTAAAATTAATTATTTTATTTTATTGAGCACAAAAAATATATTTTGAAAATTTATACTTTATTATTTATATTAGTTGATCCCTTTCCTTGATTTCTTGTTCTTAACATAATGGCTTCTACTCTTTTACGTCTTAATTGCCGGTCTTCTTCTTCTTTCTTTAGTTTTATTTCCATTTCTTGCCTTAATCTTAAGAACAACAATATATTTAATTACTTTTTATGCTTAATAAATTTCAATAATTTTCCTATAAAATTAAAATAATGAATATTATTATAAATAAAATATACTTTTCAGCTTCTTCTTTAGCTTTTCTTTCCGATTCTTCTTTTTCTAATTTTAATTTTAATTCATCTTCTTTTCTCTTTTTTTCTTCTTCTTCTCTCTTTTTAGTTTCTTCTATAGCTAGTTGTAATCTTACTTCTTCAGCTTTTCTTGCTTCTTCTAAAAGTCTTAATTGTTCTTCTTCTTGGCGTCTTTGCTCTTCTTCTTCAAGTTTTATTCTTTCTTCTTCAGCTAATCTTTCAGCTTCCTATTGTAAATATATTAATAAATAACAATGTTATAAAGAAAAATTATTTATAGCTTAAATTAACATACTAGTCTTAATCTTTCTAATTCAGCTTCTCTCTCAGCTTGTTCTCGAGCTAGTTTTCTACGTTCAGCTAAAGCTGCCTTAGCTTCTTCTTCAGTTGTAATTTTTAGTTTGGTTGCTAACATCGAAGCAGTCATATCACATTCAGCAGCTTCATTCACTGATTCTTGAATTGAACTACTTTGACTGTCTTCATCCTTGATTGCATTTTCCAATTCAATGCATTCCTCAGAACCAGAAGATTTTGCATTTTCGTTTTTATCCTAACAAAAAAAAAAGGTTAAATAATTAATAAATTTAATTTATTAATTTTAAATGATGCTTAACTACTTTAGTGATTGGTTTTTCACTAGGAAATTTTTTCATTTCTACTTTTGGAGTAATAGCTTTTTTGGTAACATTCAATTTAGGCAATGGAGGTCTTTCTCCACTGGCTGGAGATTTAATAGATTGATCAAGAGCTGTAATACCTGTCACAGCTATACTAATAGGTCTAGGTTTACGAGGTATTGCTACAGGTCTGGATCTTGGTTGTGGCGCTCCTATAATAGATTGACTCATAGAGCTTTGAGGTCGACTTACAGGTGTCATTTCTCCTGATTTCATACCTAAAGTCGAACAGAGATAGATTCAATTTTTTAAAACTTAATTTACCTAATCATTGACAATTTATCATTTTTACTTTTAATTAAATATACTAAAAATAATATTGTCATTAAATAATTAATATGAAACAATAAAACCAAAACCAAATGTTATAACTGTCAATTTTTATAGAAGATAATTAACATATTATTATACAAAATGTAATAATTTTTTTAATAGTAATACAAAATCTATTGTGAATACACAAAAGCTAAAATATTCATATTAAAAAGATATTTATTTAAAAACAACATGATCACCAATTGTACAAACAAACAACAAATGAATGTTATAAATTTTAGTTTGTTTACTTATTAATAAATAGCATAACTGTTAAGTAAAAAAAAAAAAAACAAAGTTTATTCAATATCAAATACATACACTTTAATATATTAAAAATAATTATATAATTTTAGTCAGATATATTTAATTAGGTTTCATGTAAGGTCTATGAACACCTTTATCCTTAGTACCGCCACCTTATAGATAGAAACACTTACAGATGCATGTTATCCAAGATTTAGTTAAGGACTAATATCAACAAAACTACTAAATTAAATATACATATTAAAGCACCTTTATTAGTAAAAATATCATCAGCATATGCTTTAACAAGTATTAAAATAATATTACTAAATACAACAATGGTTCTAGATAGTATTCATACAAAACATATTTAATACATATAAAAAATAATCAATTAGTTGAAGTGCATTTAATTTTCAAACTTAAGCAAAAAAGCATACATTTTATAGGTTGCCATGCTCGCCAAATAATTATATATTTATACCTGTCAAGATATAAAATAAATTATAACATAATTACATTTTACTGTAATTATGTTATAATATTATATTATTGCACATAATATAAACTTGACAAAGAATAACTTGAAAAATTTAATGTTTGTTTTAAAACAATTAATTTGATACATTTGTATTTAAAAGATAAATGATTTATTAAAAATCATTTTTTCCAAATTAATAAAAATAAATATTCTATAGAAGAATAAAATTTGCATACATTTTTTAATATTTAAATTTAATATTCAGTATAAGTAATAGCTTTAATGAACCATAAGCATGACACTTACCTGTAGTATTAGAGTTTGCAAACTCTCTGGCGCGTTTACGCAGGCGCTCGGCTCTAGTGAGCCTAGGTGGCGGCACTGGATTTAAGGTGATCATACTCCGATGCATTGAACGGTCATTGTTAGAGCCTAAAACAGTTCGCGTAGTCCCACTGGCCAAATGGCTCATGCTGCGCGCTGATGACAAGCGGCCACCATATAAAGCACTGTTGTCCAATCGAGTCATTGAACTTGCCCTACCTGGTGAACGACGGGATGAACTGGCTGATCCAGGACGACTAGGCGTAAGGTCACGTGGGGACACAATAGTGGGCATCAAGTCTGTCTTGCGTCTAGCTGCTTTCCTTTCAGCACTTCTATCACCGTCAGTTACCCCTAAACATATATTATGTTACACATGTACAACCACCACCCAAAAACATTAATTGATTTTTTAACTACAGCACAAACTAAATAATCATTTTGACTAAATTGTCTAAATACAACAAAATATACATAATGTAATAACTACACTTAGTGAGAACTTAACTAGTTAAATTTTTACTGTGAGCTTTACATAAGATTGTATACAATTAATTATTTAATGCTTTTATAACTCATAAAAATTGAAGACTTTAATGACATTTAAACAATGAACATATAACATTATTAAGTATAAATGTATATTATAAGGAAACGTAATTCCTAAATATGTTACTCCTATAATTAAAAAAAAAAATTATTTTTCTATATGCAAAAATATAAAAAAGAAACATAAAAAATTTTGTTTGTTTTAAAAAAATAAAAAGTATTTGAATATAATACTTAGCTAAATGTTCATTAGCAAATTCATAAAATATTCATTTTCCAAAAAAAATGTATTTCATTATTTAAGGTATAGTTTTTATATGAGTTATCATAGTAAAATTGATAGTTGATGTATAAAGCATAATTTAAGAAGAATGATATTAATTATTAAAAAAAAAAATTTAACAAAATGGCAATTAGATCATTAGCGTTGTCAGTTAGATCTGGGACTCTGTATACATTTTTAAACAGTTTAGAAAAAGGTCACATAAATAAATTAATTGTACAACAAATGTAATATTTTAAATTATAAATATAACTGTGAGTTAACTACAGTGAAATTTAGGTTATTATATATATTTACTCTGGTGAGCAGTATCATTACTATTTGTTTTTGGATGGAATATTAAAATTAACTATTTTCCAATTAGAACATTTCATGAATTGAAAAACATGGTCACAGTAAAATGTTAATGATTAAAAATTCAATTCATCAAACATAAAAAATTTAATTTTATAACACAGTTAAGGGTTAAGTCACAACACATAGCTTTTCCCTTAACTCACCCTGACCAACATCTAAAGAATATTCTGAAATAGCAGGAAATTGACATAAATTATCCCATTGTAAAATATCTTTAAGAGATTTCCTTTTGTTTTCTGAAAAATCTTGGTACAAAAATCGCATTTCCCATTTTTGATTCACACAAAATTACTAGTAAATTAACAAATATTTATTCATAACCTACCATCTATGCAGTGATTAGAAAGACCTCCAGCAGAAGCTGCTCTTTTTTTTCCTGAGCAATCGTTTAACTCTCTTTCAGATGATCGCCTTGTTAGTGGGCCCATTGGAGCTATGGTACTTAACATCATTACATTGCTGGTAGATGTAGCTCTAAAAATGATCTTTATTTTAATTTATAAAGAAATATTTTTAATAAAATAAAAATAGTAAAATATTTTTTTTACAAAAAACCAAAATTGTTCAAAATTAATTTTTATGATAGATAAATATTTACCTACGACTAGCCCAATAGGAACCTCCAGTTTCTGATGGTTCAAGCATACGGGGTGTTGAGCTACCAAAGGCAAAAACTATTGAACTTCGTTCATTTCTTTTTTTTGACTCTATTCTAGCTTCTCGTTCCTAAAAAAATTATAAAATTGTTATTGTTTTACCAAAAATAATAATAAAAAAAAAAAGAATTAAAGATTCCACTAAATTTAGTACTTCTTGAACATATTTTTTGTATGAAATTATAGTTTTGAGAATTGAACAGAGTTCACTGAATACATTTTTTTTTGGCTCAATTTTCGAGTGAAAAATCAACATCATTAAATGGGTAATTTTATGAGAATTTAAGAATTATTGTTTCTTTAATCAATATGAGGTTAAAAACTTATATGCTTACCATTAATAGTAAATTTACGTGAAAAATTTAATATTTAGTTATATTAACAGTGTGTCTGTTAGAAAAATTGTAATTTTTTTAAAACTTATTTTATAGTAAATATAATTTTTCGATATTATATAATATGATATAAATTATTATTAATATTTATTATTACTATTATTTCTTATATGATTATTATTAAGAAATTACTAATATAATAATAATAATTAAACCAATTTTTAAATTACAGTTGACATAATATGTTCTTTAATAGATTGAGATTTTTTTTACCACAATGAATTAATATAAAAATCATATATGAAAAATAAATATAGTATTAAGTACTTGATTTTTCTTAAGTATCGCTTCACGTTTTTCTCGTTCTGCTTCAAATAGCAGACGTTTTCTTTCTTCCACTTGCTGTCGCCTTTCTAAATCTCGTGTACGCATTTCTTCCAATCGCCTTTTTCGTTCTTCTTCTTTTTGTTCTCTATACCTTTGAACAGCCAATGCCTAAAAAAAAAAATATTTTTTCAGTAAGAAAAAATTTTAATTATGTATTAAAAATTACTTGTTGCTTGAGTTCTTCAAGTTTACGTTGTCGTTCTTCGTCATGTTTTTCACGAACAAGTCGCAGTCGTTCTTCTCGATCTTTGACATTTTCTTTAACTGTTAAAAAAAATTTTGACGAAATAATATAACAAACTTGTATTAAGTTTAATTACAACAACATATTCAGCACTAAGATACTTTAGGGATAATTAAATCTAAGACGATCTAATCGATTTATAACAGATATTTAGTATGGATAGTAGAGATATTATGTAAGTCTTTAAATAGAAATTTCATTATAGATAATTTTTTAGCATGGGTCTTAACTATTATTCAAAGGAAGTATATAAAATTAATTTTGATAATTTAATAAAACTATAAATAAATTTAATACATATTGTGAATCATAGATACACAAATACATCAGTATTTATCACGTCTGGGATATAATGACTCATGAAAATGATAATAGTATTTATTGGTGTTGGATATTCCTTTTTTAATAAATACATAAAATATTTGAAATTAAAATGCTTTGATATTTGAAATTGTGTATTGGTTAATTGGGAAATAAACAAAGTAACTCAAATTACACCATAAAATATAATTTAATTAAATAATAAAAAAATGTTGAGTAAACGGCACTAGATATAAATTATGCTTGTTAATTAAATTCATTGATATATAAAGCTTTTAATTTTTTTAGCAAGGTAATCTAAAGACTTTCATTAACAATCACGTTTACGATAGAGGCCACATAAATAAAACTCATGTTTTAATATAATTAAATAAGAGTTATTACTTATATTAAGATCAAATTTGTATCTTGTATGTAAAACAAGTAAATTATACTGGGAATTTTTAATTTTCCAAGGTAAAGATAATAAATACTAACACGAAAAAAAACATAAATTATTAAATAAATAATTATTTATACAATTCATATTGATATGCGAGTTTAAGAATCACGAATAGTTAGATAGTAAAAAGTCTTAAATTGTCATTAAATTGGACTGTTTTTTTTATTTCTTTGAATCGCAGAAATATATTTTTTAATTACACAAATTTCAGTTCATGGGTAATGTCGGTATAGAAATAAGTTTATATTTGTTAGTACAACAAATCGCAACAATTTGTTAGTATGAAAATTAAAGATTAGACTTTTAGTAAATAAAACTACAGTATTAATTATAGACACAAAAGCACACAGGCCAAAAACACTTAAATGAACCTGTTTCATCTGTATCATCAAAGGGGTCAAATGATTCTGCACCATGAGCAAACCAATGAAGTCCTCCTGATACAAGAAAGTTGTGTTTAGTTTTTAATACATAAATGAAAAAAAAAAAGAAAATAAAATCAATAGAAATGTTAATGTCTGTTACAATGTATTGTATGGCTGTTTTTTGTACGATGCATTTTTTCTCGTAGAATATTTTTGTTATAAAAATATTGTACTGGGTTATTGTTAGCATGATTTAAGTTGATTTTATTCAAATATTTGTATTACAATTAAAGTGAAATTGAAGGGATAAAATGTTATATATAATATTCTTTACTAAATAAATTGTGAAATATTTACCTCTAGATGTATTTAGAGGTGGTGCTGGCGCCGTGCTTGGCCTATTGTCAGGGTTAACAGTAGTTACTCCTGCTGAAAAATTAAAACGATGACTATTAGTATTAGGTATTTAAATATTATGAAGTTGTTAAGGAAAAAGAATTTTCAAAGTTAACAGTACGTTCACTTGGTCAAACCTCTATAGTTTAATCTTATAGCTATTGTTAATGTGAGTGGGTAGTTATGCATTGGTTTATTATAAATACACAACCTACACTGACTTGTGAGAATTGTTTTACGTTTAACTCGTTTTTCGAGCAAGAAGTACAAAATTAAAGAATCAAATAAAATTTAAAATGTAGAATTTATAAAAAAATACACGAATTCATTTTTATAATATTGTTTAACTAATCTCTGTTTTCAAGTATAAATTTTATCCATATCACGATTACAATCGAAAAATAACGCTATATTTTTTGAATACAATATCAAATTGAACAGATCAATAAATGAATGTTGTTAAATGTAGCCTTTAAATGGCATAAAAACATTATATGTATTATGATTTTGATAAAAATTAAATAGCATGAGGTCTTACTAACCTTGGCAAAACAACTACCACTTCTTTATGATACACGTACAAATATTCTTTATAAGAATTTCTTTTATAAAATGTTTACAATATTTGTTATAAGAGAATACTCTTATCACTTGACAGAACCTTATAGTATGACAAGTATTAAATTTTTTATTTTAGCCTGATGTTTCAATAAAAAAAAATTGCTAAATGAGATGTTTTCGACTAGTAAAACAATAACTAAAATAATCAAACTCATATGTTATAATAATATAATTCAATAGTTAATATCATTAAGAAAGCCATAAAGGAAGAACGTAAAAAATTTTTTAATTAAATTATTAACATAATACAATATTATGTTCAAATAATATTATTGTATGCTAGTGTGCAGGTTTGGTTTAGGTTTTAATAATTGGAAAGCGACAGTCAATAAAACAACTTTTCAGTGATTATCATAAAACACTACACAAAATAATTATCATAAAACTTAGTACAAAATGTATAAGGAAAAAATCCGGACGGGTGACTCATTTGTCAGTAGATTTTGGAAAGTGTTAGAGGTGCAAATAGAAGAAGAACGAGTTCGAAAATGATTTAATTTCCTTTTGACTAGTGATTCTTATTTCATTAGATTGTTTTTAGTTCGATAGTACTTCGGTGTTAGTCGTGAGTGAGTGATTATTCGGTATTAGTGATGATCATGATACAAGAAAACGACCGTTGTACCGGTTGAGGTGGTCGAAATTCGCGAATATGATGCGAAGAGGCGTCGGCGGCGGACAGGCGGTATCGGCGGCTGTACCCTCTGATGCTGTTGTTGGTCAGCCAACGGCACATTTTCAGGAGGCAGCGAAGACGCCAAAATATCGCGGAGCTCGGACAACGCCGCTTCGTCACTTTCCAGCGTCCGGTTGCGTATTGAAGACACGTCCGAGTTGGAACGGCATGAAGGTTGTTCCAAACCCATGTATCCAACTATCCGCTACACACCCGTTTTCTTGCGATTCAGTACTATGTTATTAACAATGTATTTTTCACCACACCGCCGCCACAATTCAAACCACACCGTCGACGAAGCGATAACAATAACTTGGATTCGCACAGCCGCATAGCGAGTTTACCAGTTAACAACTGACACACTTATAATAAATGTAGCGACGTCTACGCTAGTACCGCTCCTCACACGCACACGCTCACGCCAAATATATACATGTGTATACGAAAACTCCGATTCATTCGTGCACACCTGTAAAGGCGATCTGTACAAAACGGCACAGCGATCGCGGTGAAAAAATCACGAGCAGCGTCCGTGAAGATGTCGGAATGTTTCGAGTTTCTTAGACCGTCAACTGCTTTTCAAACAAAGCAAACGTTACAATTAAAAAAAAATTTGAATTCAGGCTAATGACCGAAATGAAATGTTTAAAATTATCACGGAAAAATAAGAAATGTTCACCATTTTATCTCGAAAGACCTTATTATTATTATGATTTGTACGTTTAAAAATATAATTAGAGTTTAACTGATTCGATTCATATTAAGTGTGGTAATTGAACTGCATACAATTACCAGAAATTTATGTAAGTTAATTAAAAAGGAAGTTGATTCTTTTCAATAGAACGTTATCGACAGTGAAACGTTAAAAATCTCATAGTGGTTAATTATCACGAACTCAACAATAAAATCGACATGAGTATTCAGAAATATTAAGAGTTCACATTTTCTAGGAATTGTGACATCTTTTTTTGTCCCAAACAAGTATTTAAATAAAGTATGATTTAAGTGAAGTGTACTATTAACCACAATAACTATAGTAAATTTTTTTCAGTACCAAAAATATACAATTTTTGTTATTATGCGTTTCATTATTGCATTAAATGCAAACAAAAGGGTGATGACGTTAATGTTGAGAATGTTGAGTATATATTATCTTATTTCTATTTATAAAGCGACCACGCGATTACAGGAATACTCGAATGATATAATTAATTGTGTTGTTAAATTCACATCAAATTAAATTAATATCAAAAATCTATCCATATTATTTTTATAGTAAAAAAACAAAAAATTCAAGTGTTTATAAATATAATATAACATTTCAAAAATGTCGCATATTTTTCTTAATGTTATACTGTATTTTAATAACAAAAGTGTAAATTAAATGAAAAGTATTGTAAAATAAATACATGATAACAATTATGTATATAATACATTTTAATGATGCTCACTCATGTTTGTTATATTTCAAAATACAACAATTCTATTACAATGAGCTTTTCTTCAAAGGGAGATGAATGGGGTAAGTTCTATAGGCACCAAAAATATATGAGTACATTGTTTTTTTACACATTATGTATTTTGTTTAAAAATATATTTAATAGGGGCGTTAATGACAGTAAGCGCGACACCGATTGTGATTGTATTGTACAGCCAAAGTGAAAAAAAATAGTAAATATATTATCTAACACTAATTTAAAGAGTTCGCTTATCATTTTCAATTACATTTTTTTACGTTGAAATGATCTGACTTATAAATTTAAAATAAAAAAAATATAAGTAAGTAAAAGAATGTGCATTATTTAACAATTTAATTGTTGTTATCTTATAAAATAATTATTAAATAACAAGACATTTAAAAGTAATAATTACATAGCTTACTATTATTAAGCTGATACTTAAATCATTAGATATTTAAATGTTTTAAAAAAAATTATTTAATTATACAATATATACGTTTAAAGATAATTTTTCCACGACTAAAACTTAACTAAATTTATATAAGAGTATAAAGTAGCGTGTTTTGTATTTATCGTTTAAAATATAATATTTTTGATATTGCTAAACAAAATCAACGTTGACCTTGAAGGTTTAATGCTATAGATTGCACGTCGATTTTCAAGGTCATATCTTAAAGATGAATAATAACGCTAAAGACAACTATTACATATGTTTTTACTTTTGAAAATTGTAAAAAAAATTTTTTTTTTAATATTTTGTTAGACTGAAACAAAGAAACTCAATAGTGGCATTCTTACAGTGTAAAGGAATCATTGAATTTCATCGAATGAAACTGTTGCCACATTTTATTATATCTCTGATTTGTTTTTATAAGAACGTACCAATAGAGTAGTGTCTTTCACATTGTGAATACATTCTGGAAAAATATTGAATAGTTCTAATAGTAAAAGAGATTTTCGACTAAAAAGATTGTCAAGTAGTCCATAATACAATTTGTTACCCGATAATTTAGAAATTTATTTTAAATTCCTGTAAAGGCTTATGCGTTCATACTGAAATGTCAAAAACGATAGTATTATTATTAGATGACAACGGAATAAGTAGATTTTTTAACTAATTATTTCAGTTAAGAAAATGCAAAAATGTCAAGCTACACAGAACAGTTTATGGCTTAACGGCTAATTATTAGGTACAGCACTCTTAACTCAAATAAAGACCTCGTATACCATAAACGACATCTGAGGATTTCACCAGTTGTTTTTAAGTAAATGGACATCGGTTAAATAAAACGACATAATATGATGTCATCGTTATTAACCGACTGCCAATTTTGACAAAATATATAGACCTTCGTACATGATTTCCTAAAATAAGCTTTTATATTTTAGAAATTTGTCTACGACACTAATGTTTCTAATTACAAAAAGAAGAAACCGCGAAACAAGTTAAACGCCAATACGATTCTTTTTTGTCGGTAAACTTGTTACGCATTGATACTCAAAAAATAATTTTTAACGTTATACCGTAAACTGAATTATATTACTCTTAATGTCAAGCGTGTGCTATATCGTAATAATATAAAGACCTTATTGATGTGAACGTGTGTAATTATTAAAAATACTAGCAATTACAAATAAAAATTATACATAACTTCGGGCCAGTTAAAACTATAAATCTATTAGAATTATTAGGGTTTCGATGTCAAGGGTATTAAGAAAGCCTGTAAAGCTATACGATTTAACAGTTTAGTAACAAATTAAAATCTGAATGTGTTGGTTTTAATTAATTAAAAATATTATTCGCATTAGAATAACATTTTAGATTTTAAAAGAAAATCAAACAACCAATTTTCTCATTAGAGTTATTCAACCAATTTACAGTGCTGAAAAATATATGGCATAACTGTTTTCTGTGCGTAAAAACACCGAGGACATCGTTATGGGCAGTAATGTGATTTGGTATAGTTACACTTTCACTTGAAAATTACTGTAATTACTCGATAGTGCCAATTGCGTCATGATTATCCGAATGTTTTGGTATATAGAAGTTATATTGTTATTGTTCCTTAAGATTTTTGTGTATAGGGTAGTCGTAAAATGAAAAACAATATCGTATGGCAAAGTAATACCGAAACACTAGTAACCTCAATCGCCAAGACCGTGTTATGTTGTATTGCAGCCATAAGCATTTTGGTGCAACCATTGATTTAAAAACACTAAAAAATCTGCTATTTAACGAGCAGACATACAGACGAACACTTTTTTACGATCCTGACGACAATATAGAACGTTTAAATTGTCTGATAAATTGTTTGGCGATTTCACTAAAGGAAAGTCGGACCTTCTGCTGTATATTTAATGGATACTTGTACTTTTAAAATGTGGAAATATGTGTTCATATGCTGGGAGATATTGTTTTTGTAATGCTTCCGACGATTCTGGTAGATTTTAAGTAATTGATAATGGTTTTTATTTTTTTGTCTTAAAAATATTTTCTGCAACAAATTATATTTTTTTTATGAAATGTCTTGTCTATTGTATAATTAATGATATATTAAAACCGGTTTGATTAAAGTAAATATATTAACATAACAACTAAGGAAATTTAAGGAAAATTAAAAAAAATCATTCACAAATAAGCTTTGTAAATTTTCGAAAAATTAAAAAAAACACTAATTTAGCAAAGATAAAAATATTCGATAGTACAGAAAAAATAAGACTGCAAAAATTTAAATAATACAAAAGATCAGATTCGTTATTAGCTTTGTGGTTTTAATTGACACAGTTAAAGTGTATTAGTAACCGTTGAATCACGGTTTTTAAAATGAGGTTTACTGCTTGATGTGGCCTAAATAGTAACAATAGATATTCATGATGATTCCAAAATTATAAAAAAATATATAATACGCTGTGGTTAACATTTTCCTATACGCGTATCGTAAGAATGGGTAGTTCACGACTTAATTAAACATAAAAAAAATATTTAATGTAGTTTTTTTTTATAAACAATGAATACTATAATACATTAACGTTATGTTAAGTTACAATGAATCATGTCTAATATGCAAGACGTTAATTTACCAATAACGTCCGACTCGCCATAAGTATCTACACCGACAAAAAATTCATAAATTACAAAGAATAATCAAGAAATTTTTCTTTTGTTTAACTTGATTACATAAAAAGTAAACATAACAGTATTTAACCAAAAATATATATATATTCGTTGTTTTATCAAATATATATATTTATTCAAAGTAAAACAACAAAAGAAATACAATAAATAATAAAACAGTTTTAATTTATTATACATAAAATATTTAATTAACGATCACAAAAATATTAAAAATGTCTTACGAAAAGGGTATAAACAGGTTTTGTTTTAAACAAATTAGATACCACATTCACAAATTTTAGTTTTATTATTTGTTGATAATATAATTTTTGCCAAGAAAAAATACGTGTTAATGTAATATGACTTGAGTTACTTTAATTAAAAAAACAATAAATTACAAAATAATAAGATTTTTTCACAAATTAACTTTATTTAGGTTAGTTAAATTTTGAAAAACATGTGTAAATGTTATTTATGATTCATTTATCTTTTATAGCCTTAATACGCAAATTTCAAGATGCCAATGACATGTGAAGATGTATGTTGTCAATGCTGAACGAAATATAAATTTAAGATTTAAAATTTCAAACAATATATCTTTCAAAATATTTATATTATATAGTTTGATAAAATACCACGAACGAGTTTCTACTTTAAAACATTATTACATAACAATGTCTCTAACTAAAAATGATGTTAGTATAAAGGTATTTGAAATTACTAGAAATAAAATGCGAAATAAGCGAAATTAAAAACAAGTAAACGTCATCTAAAATTTTTATTCATGTTATTATGTACAAAATTAATAGATTAATACGAATTTAACATTTAAAAAAAAAATAATTACATAATTTAGTAGCATTTTTATTTTGTATTAATCCTACATAAATTTATAAACAAATTTTTAAACATTTATATTTTCCCAAAAAATAATTATGAAAATTGTTTTTATAAATAATTAAGGGTGTGGTTGATTTCTACCAGAAAGTATACATTTTAAAGTATACACTAAACGCACTATAGCACTACACGCATTAAAATATTATAAATTATAATACGGGTACTATCATTACTCATAAAAATGATTACATTCATTATGATATACTGCTCCAGTATAAATTCATAAAGAAATATGAGCAATAATTTCATTTAAAATGCTATTGCCATCATTAAATGTTCAACTATTTTATTAGATAATATAAGATGATTTCCCTTACATATCCAAATGTTTCCTTGGGGTCCAAGATCTGCCTGTAAACATTGTCTACGAAACGCAAATCTAAGTCCGTTTAAATCGTCCCTAAGATGTTTTCCGTCCATAGCTAAAACGCTTTCAGGCACTAGTAATAAATTATCAATTCCTTCTTCCGGGCCAGACCGTCTGTCTTCGCCACTATTATGTTGATAACGTGTCGGTACCCTTAAGAGACCCGCCATTTCACGATTATCATAGCACAGATATCATAACAACCGCATTATTTTATTGCGCACATATCGGTCGGTCATAATTATAAACGAATCGAATAACTGTTCATGCACATACGTTTAGTGCCTCTGTTATGTACGTGTAAATCGAGCACAACAAGAAGACACTATGGAATGCGTACAAATACACACACGCACAGAAATTTCCTATCACGAGGTTATACACATGGTCTTAGTACCGGCAAGACGACCAACTACAGGGAAACTATACTGCGGACGATACTTACTAACCTACTGAAGCTGGAACCAGTGCAGAATAACATTTACCCATCGGCAATAGAAAGAGGTAGACTATTGATGGAGGGGAAGGAGAACACAAAATCTTAATAAGCACCGCCATTGATATGGTACCGACAAAAATTACTTTCAAAAAAAAATATGCAGTCTTGCGAATTACCTTAACAGATTAACGTAAATGATTTTTCTAACTAGATTATAAAGCACATAAAAACAATTGACATACTCTAATTACTCTAAATCATTCCTCTTACTTGCAATCTTAAATCGAGAACGCATGCAGGCAAAAATTTACATTATAAAATAATTAAAAAAAATTACATTTTATAATCAAATTTAAGTATGTGATATGACTGGAAATAACAACACAAAAAAAAAATGAAGAGAAATTTTTAAATAACTTTAAAAATACACTGTAGAGTAGGCTTGGATATATTTGTTGGATTGCTTCAGTTAATTAATCAAATTAAAAGTTTAAATCGAAATATTTGTTGAGTAGATGGGGTTTAATTTTTGAATTTACATACGCACATTGTCATTTAGACTAAAGACTTGATAAATTTTTTATTATTAATAACTTATTAGTTATTCAAACTGATAATTAACATTTTTTATGAAAAGTCGTTTACGACAATTAGGCTGTAAACAGTTGAATGTATATATGAATAAAATGGTTTGTTGACATTAGAATAAAGACTAGTTTATGGAATAAATAAGTAATGAAAAATTAATTTTAAAAGATTTTTCAATTATACTTATATCTTTAATAAAGTACATTTTAGATGAATTAAGGATAGTTTATACAGAACACAAAATTATAACAAACAATATTCAATACAAAAAGAATTGAAATATAGTTTAATATAAAGTGAGAGTACTAATACATACTGGTGTAATATTTATACAGTTTAAATATATATATATATATATATATATGTGTGTGTGTGTGTGCTCTCACGGAGTAAAGATAGGGAGTGTTTATTACATATCACTTAATATGGATTAACGTGATCCTGACCCTGGCCTTTCTTATTAGGGAATTTTGAGATACAAACCAGTAGTTCTGTGAAATTGGGGTCAACAAGTAAATATGAACAAAGAAATAACGGACAATAGACGACAATTCATAAATGAAACTAAAATGCCGATGATAAGATGTAAGGAAAAAATATCAAGTTATTTTCAATACATCGATTTTTAATTACTACTGCCAGCTGGACTTTCTAATAGAAAAACAAAGATTATAATTTGCATTAAAACCTATCATAATACCTCTCAAGTGTCATTACAAGAATACTGCCGAAGTTATAATATGCTAGGTGATTGAAAATTAGAAATTATAATGATTACTAACAAAATAATCACAAGGCTCTTTTAAAATATTACACAACAAAAAATTATGAAATATAAATAAGACTTTTACCGCTAGACGATGAATGACAACAAGCATACCCAACAATATTTTTATGAATTTTGATAGAGAAAATTTCATTCAAAATAGTGAGACAAAATTAATAACAATTGGTTACGGATACGGTTCATCAATTGGTTAATATGCATTTCATAGACACCTTCGATTTAATAAAATTCAACTGGGACACTTTCTAACTATTTATTTTTTCGATATTTTCAACATAACTGCACGATTGACGTATATTCATAAATCGTATACACAAATTGTAACATAAAGAATACAATTTCTTAGATCTGTAAAGGCTAAGGCTCATCAACGATAAAGTGTGTTTTACTACATAAAGCGAACCAAAATAATCTGCACTATAATGGTTTATAAAAGAGCAACATATTAAGATAAAGATTGATATGTCTGTTAAACCAATTAACTTCAACATGACTAATTTTTATGAATATACTCACAATTACTTACAATGTTTAATATCATTTCTATCCGCTACCCAATCCATTTGTAATACAATTGTAAGTGCACGATTCATTATAAAAAATATTTTCTTACTTATATTGAATCTTGTTAATTCAATTTTATATATATTTATACTATTCATTAATTACTCACCTAAAAAAAGATATTATAATTAGAGTATAAGTAAATAACAAAAACTTTTTAAATTAATTCTAAGAATGTTTGAGTACATCAAGTTAAAATAAAATTTTTTATTCTATTTTTATACGCTTTTTATAACCTTAACAAGACTAAAATATTTTTACTTAAAATAATTAAAAAAAGTTTAGCACTTAAACTACAATGTTTTCAAATTAAAACATACATAAGTAGCCAAATTATAAAAATAGTTATATTTTAGTATATTATAAGCAAACAGAAAATTGTGTAAAGAGACTATTTGAATACTTAAAAACATTCAATTTAGGAGTTCCTAGCGCTTAAAGAAAACATTGCAGTCCATTTAACCGGAAGTCTTAAAATAAATGTCTGCAGTCGGAAGGATTACAAATCTCTTCAAATATCATCAATGTTTAATAAAGAAGATAAATCGTAAGAAGTGTATGTGGATAGTTAAAAATGTTATGTGATCCTTAAAAACTATGAAGAAAGATGATGAATTTTCAACATAAGGCGAATAAATTAATTTACTTACTAAAAAGATACTTATAATTTACAATTGGGATACGAAAAACATACACACAATTTTACAAACATTACTGGACATAAAATGGATTACTACTGGCACGAGCACAACGCAATACAATACACATAAAATATAAGTAACAATACAGGATTCACGCATATGAACACGTAGAATGAGCAACATCCAGCTTCTGTTATTAACTATACTTCCCCAGTTTCCTAAATAATTGTATAAAAGGTTGTGCTAATAACAGTAAAGTTATTTGTTAAAAAAAAAAAAAAAAACAATGATCATTACTTATACTGTATACAACTCGTAAAGAAATTTAGAAATACTATTGACATTAAAAATATTTTTAAAGGGTACGAAAATAATCACAGAAAGTTAATTTTGAAAAATTAATACGATTAAAATACCTGATTTAGAAATTGGAGGATATTCACACGACTTTTCTACATCATAAAACTCGCCAGAATTAAATGAGTAAACGGAACGTACAAGTTTCATTTTTTTTACATCAAACAAAAAAAAAATTCACTTTGAACAATTACGACTTTATAGATTAAACCTAGTAAGACATTTTGTAACGTGTAGCGTAAAGAACGAACGGTTACTGAAAGAACTTATTTTCAGCACTTCACTAATACCTCACCGAACAGTAGTGCGATTAAAGGAAACACTTATAACAATGTGTCATAAAGATAAGTATTATCAATAAAAATGGTAGTAATAATTATTATTTTATTAATGTGTCCAATATTGAGAATTTATATATTTCTAAGACAATTACAAAATAATAATAAATGGTTTTATTTAGTGAAATATTAAAATCGTTTAATGCTCTATTTAATTTGCATGCGTTTGCAGATTAATAAATGTTATGTGCATAGGAAAAATAAAAATAAAACCTCCGTAAAGTAAGGTTTATTGATTTTATATTCATGTTTTACTAGAAATCTACAATTTTATCTTGAAATTTTAATTGAGTCAAGCAAATGTTTATGTATTAAATAGAAGAAAAATATTTATTATTTATTAAGAGTATATAGTAATATAACATAAGGTATAATGTGATAGATCGCACGCCAATAAATGTTTTAACAATAATGAAAAGTAACAAATTAATTTTATTCGAGTCCACTAAGTTGGGATGTATTATACTATTCTAGATCCCCAATAAAGCCGTCATTATATGACCATGATATTGAAATTTTTAGGAATTTAATAAGTAGCAAATGATAAAATAAAATAAAGTACATAATATATCTAATTTTACCATAAATAGCTATTTGTAATACTATAAAATTCTTTATTATTAATATATAGTTAATATATGATTCTAATAGCATAATTATTTTATATATATATATATATTAATTTAAATCTATTTTCTTTTTTTATATTAAAGCCTATTTCATAATTTACAAAAATCAATGTTTTTAATAGTGTAATAAAATCCAAACTTGACGGATTTGCAATCAATATAGTTTTGCCATTACATCAAAACACGTATACATAAAACCCCAAAGTAATATAGCACATTTTTTAAGCCCAAAGTTTGAATTAAGAAAAAAGGCGTGTCTCAACTATCTGACGTAATGATAGTAGACATGCAAAGAACTAATCAAAAACAGAAATCGACTGAGACTGTCAATTGTAAAACTATTATATAAAAACTTTTTTTTAAATTTAATTATTAAGGTAATATTTTTTATAGATACTTAACACTTGACTAGATATGTGTTGAAATGGATCATAAAAAATTACCAAAATAGGTAAAAAACAATACAAATTACAAGTTTCAAATAAATCGAGAAAAAATTAACCTCTAAGGCTTTTTTCAAAAGTTATTACTCAATTTTTCAATTTTACAGGAAAACAAAAACAAGTTTAATGACATAGAATAATCGGTATCAGGAATAGATGAACGTTGTAATAAATGATATCGTCCATTAAATAATATCACTAGTAATCATATAACGCTTTAATGTAAATTTAAAGGATAAAAGTTGTCAAAACGTTATACTTTTTTTTTTACTTGTAGAATATTATACTAGTTTTAACTTGACTGAGGATAAAAAGACTAAAGTTATTAAAAATTGAAATAAAAAATTTATTTCAAGATATATTGATGTGTTTAAATCGCCAAAGTTAAAACTCAATTTTGAGTAATAATAGTCAATAAGTTTTAAGAAGAAAATAAACATTATCATTAATCCATTTTATTAAGTACAAAATTTTGTTTTATAACATTAAATTGTATTTTCATACATTTTAAATTAATAAAAAGTTAACGTGGCGTAAGCTGATTTGGAATTTGAATAATTAATATTTTTTTTGGTGTGGGTTAAAAATTAAAATTAGAAATGAATTAAGAATAAAAAAAATTGATTTATTCTTAATCTTATATTTCAAACATCTTCGAAACTATCAGTGTATGAAAAATAAAAATTTCAATGATCTGAGCCAAAAAAAATAAATAAATAATCGCCTATTGATTTGTAATTTATCTACAATATATTCTTTATTAATCAATTTAAATTAAAAAAAATCTACAAATGTATGTGCTTGGAAAATAACAATTTTAATATAATATTTTAGAGTTGTTAATTTTTATATAAAAATATGTATAAATTACAAAAGAATAAGAACTAATTAAATAATAACCATGGTTAGATCTTTCATAATGTTCTATGATCACACTATTATCTTATTAAGTTAACCTAATTTAATACGGCTAAGTATTTACAGAAGAAAAAAATATATGCATTGCGGTTAAAAAATATGCCATACGCGCTACATGACGATATCTTTAATTCCAATTAAAAATTTTGTACAGAGAATCTATAAGTAATCTAAGTGGAAAGCATTATTTAAGTATACTATGTAAACTGTTAATTTAATTATTTAACACTCCAATGAAATCTTTAGTTTTTAATTACTATATATTTATTTTTTAATTGGTTATTGTTAAGATAATATATACAGAGTATCCAGATTTAATTGACAACCCTTACAACCCATCCAAATAACATTTTGCTGAAATTTTTTTCTTAAAATATTTATTGTATTCTTATACTATGTTTTAAGCATATTTTTTATTATTTATCACTAATATGAAAAATAAATAAATTTTTTTAACTTTTTCAAAAATTAAAATTTTTTAGATTTTTTTTATAAAAAATTCTGATAGATTGATAACAATTTTTTAGGAAAAGTACTCATTAAGTTATAAGCTTGTAACTATTAAGTTTTAATATATAGTAGGATAAGTAATGAGAATAGATGCATATATACGTAATTATATTTTTGAGGATTGCATATTTTCTTAAGGGGACATGTTCCCCTCATGCCTCTATTAATGGGAGTCCATGATTGATATCTATGTTTAATATTATAATATTAAAGAGAGAAATAGCATCGTATTAAATTTTAAAATACCAAATTTATTTCAATTAAAAGGCTGTATTCTAGATTTTATTAATAATTAAAAAGTAAGATAGAATTTTTATAATTCCTGAGGAAGGAGATTATTTTTAAAGCTCTTTTGCCAGTTGTAAAAAACGATTAATTAGGTTGCATTTAGTAAACAGCCAATGTAAAATTTAATCAAAAAATATGAAAAAATAATTAATTTTTTCAAAATTTTGATATGATTTGTTAGAAATATGATAGGTTAGTTTATATATGAAGTTTAAATAATATAATTCTATTAATTAATAATGTCAGTTTAAAATTAACTAGCTATTTTTTATATTTTTTAAATACAATGTTCATTTTAAATTTTAAATTTTAAAATTCACAGAAGGCTAGAATAGGAGTTGCGTATATTTATGCTATATCTTAATAAAAGTTATTATGTTGTGTATATTATACAATAAAAAAAAAATAATAGTAAACTTAGTTTATTTAATTTTTAAAAACATTTAAATAAAATATCTTAATTATATTATTTAAAAAAGATAGAATTAAAAAAAAAAAAACCTAGTACATTAAGAACTTTTTATAGTAGTAATTTTATATTGTATGCACCAGTACATGTCAATTTCTGCCAATGATTAACATTACTATCCTGAAACACTTTGATGCCAATGTGTTTGAAGAGAATTGGACTATTTCTTTTTTAGGAAAATAAACTTAATAGATAAACCTGATTAAATGCATCTGCTTTCACAATACTATTATCGTAGAAAAATGTCATAAAAATAAAACATTTAGATACATAAACCTGATTTTTGAATTTAAGATCCCATTTCATAAAATAAAAAAATAGTCAGAACATTTTATATTTTAACAATAAACTAAAATTATGCTTTAATTTGAAATAAATTTAGAGGTTTTTGGTTGATTTATAAAAAAAAAAATTTATCAAAAGAAAACTTAGTCTTTAGTAACACCAATAAAAATACCATTTAGATCATGTTTGTTATTTATAAAGTTATTGTTACTTTAAAAATTAAAAAAAAAACTCTTAATTAGTCTTTTTCAATAACAGTTTCTTTTGTATTATTTTTTTTTTAGTTTTTGAAAATTAGGGAATTTTTTTAATTTTTAAGGATAATATTTTGATTAACAAAATCAGATCATAATAAAATGTCTTCCCAACCTCAAAAAGCTTAATATCGTAGAAATCCATTTTAGATAAAAAAAAATCAATTTTTTTTTATAATTGATACTTTTTTTTAACTTATCTTATACTGACAAAGTGTTTTCGGTTTATATTATAGTTGTAAAAGTATAAAAAATGAACGCAAATAAAAAATATCTATAAAAAACCAACAATTCAATAATTTGTAAAAACTAGAAACATATTGATATTTAAATGAAGAATGCTATGAACAAGTATACACCCGTCAACTTTTTTACTACTAAATGTTGTCTGTGTAGTTGCTATGGATACATTAAATTGGTGAAAATAGAAAATACAATCAGCATATAGAATTGTGTTGGGTATAATTATTAAGTATAGACTCTATAGCTTAAAAAACATATAGCAAGTGATAATAATGTTTAAAAACATCAACAGTATAAATAAACAAATAGTTTTTATCATATTGAAAATGTACGACAATCTAAAAGAAAATAGCTTCAATTTGAGTATATCTAACACTTGACAATGAAAAAAAATAGTTCATAATTAAAAGAACCTAAATAATAAAAAAAAATACCTGCGATAATTAAAATGTATTATATGAACATGTAGATTTTCAGCTTTCAAGATATAATACATTTGAGGTTAAAAATTTAATAAGAATACAACATTTATTTAAATCCAGGATTAAAGGTTGAAAATTTTTCTTTAAAAAACAACGTATATCGACAAATTTTAAAGGCTCTGTTTAAACTAAGGGCAATTGCATAAGCAACATTCTTTATTTTTCAATGATAAGTGAGCCCAAATCACCCGGTGAAGTCTGATCAAATAATGTAAATTTCAGTTGAGGAAAATTGGCCATAGGTTGTAATTTAATGGTTTATATGGTGCTTAATATACTTATAAATTGTATGAGTAAAAATTTCTTGATATTTTAATTATTTACCTGAATTTATCGAGCGATTAGAAGTCACCCTGACGAACTCTGCCATTTTTCGATACTGACTAGTTCAGAAGTTGTATCAGTGATACCAGGCAATATAAAATTAAACTATCAATATTTTGATATTAATCAATGGTGGCAGGACATTCATTAGATAACAAAAAAATAATTATTCAAAAAGTTATAATTATTTAAAATAACGTTTATTAGTTAATTTAAATTTCATTCAATGTTAATTTTATTTTATATTGTTGAGAAATTGGAAGAATCGTCTTCAAACATTATTTGAGATAAATATCTCTAAAAAAATTGAAATTATCACTAGTGACGTGTGTGATAACTTCTACTGTCTATCAGTTTGAAAGGAATTTATGATTTAAAAAATTATAATTATAATTATTATTGTTTTTATAAAATAATTTAATATTCGATTCTTTCAAGTATTGAGTACTAGTACTATTCTTCCGAATTAAAAAATCTCATAGTTTATAGTATTGCTACTATAATTTATTATTTATTTAATTAATTTTTTGTGTATATAATTATACAATTTTATATATATATTTTTTTACTTAATATTTATTTTTTTTACTTTTACAAAATATTCACTAATTTACCGTTTAACAAAATGTCTAACGAAGTTTATATTGTATCTGCTGTACGAACACCAATTGGTAAGTTATTTATTAAGAAAAAAGGTTGTTAAGCTAGTAATTTGTAACTATATTATGTTAATAATACAGTTATATTATTAGGTAACTATATTATAAATATAGTAAACCTTAGAATTATAATTTTTGCTATTCAATTAATGTTTTAACATTATTATATTCATATTTATCAAAGGTAACTTAGAACACTTATTACTGAGATTTAAATAATTAATAGTGTAAATAATACTATTTGGGTTATTTATATTTTTAATTTTTTAATTGGCAATGCATTTGTATAATATATACAAATCATATCAAGAAATGAAATAATAATAACAACTTTTTTTCTGTTTTCTCTAAATTCCTAGTATAGAATTATTCATATGAAATAAAGTCATCATACTTTTATATAGAAATTACTAACACAAAAAAAAATTAGCCGAAAGTCTTATGTAAAAATAAATTATAGTAATCATTAAGGCAGATAAAATGTTTAATTTATGTCCATTATTTCAAAAAATATATAGATTATAGTAAATTAATGTAATGATATTTAATTTATAAAGTATTACCTTATAGTCTAATAAATCATTGCTGATTATATAAGAAAAAATCTAATTAAGAATTATTTTTCAAATTATGTAATACATGTATACATTCATATTTACAGGATGGAACAGATCTAACTGTTAACTCTTATAACTTTTGATTTTGCTGTAATTTTTAAAATAATTTTTGCATTCTTAAACTACCTTAAAAGCATATTTTATAATATTTGTTTTTATTTAAAAATAAATTACATCATAATGGAAACATATTTTTAATTAACTTATAAAAAAAAAAATTATCTAACTGATAAAATTACTGGTTCATAACAACTTTTAATCTAGCATTTTTGGAAGTTATTACCACTTATATACCAAGGAGTGTAAGTTAGTGTAGTATAGAAATTATTAGAGATAAAAATAAACAGTCCTGCTCTTCACCTCTAGTCATTATAGTAAAGTATTAATAATTTCCAAAATACTGGTTTAAAGTTTGTTAATGAACATTAATTTTCTTATTTGTTAGCTGGTTAACTATACATGTCAGCAATTTAGAAAAAAGTGATTTAATTTTAAGGAAAAAGAAGGAGCTAGAACCAATTTTTTAAAATGTATAAAAAATTATATTATATTTGATTTAATTAGAGGTATTGCATGAGTCATAATTAAAGAATAACCCTATATATATATATATATATAATTATAATATAATAATAATTAATAATAATAATAATAATTATAATAATTATATATAATTATTATCAGACATAAAAAGTAGTTCAATTAAAGTACAGCTTATATCTAACTAGAATAAATAATATATCTATTGATTGATATGAATTAATTAAAGGCTAACTCTTATAACTTGAATTTTATTGCAGGTTCATTTTGTGGCTCATTATCAACATTTAAATCATATCAGCTTGGTTGTGTTGTGATTTCTAAAGCTTTAAAAAAAGCTGATGTTAATCCTAATGATGTCTCTGAAGTTATTCTTGGCCAAGTATGAAATAAAAAATAAAATTTTAATTTTTGATTAATAATATAATATTTGTATTTATGTAGGCTCTTACTGCTGGGCAAGGACAAAATCCAGCTAGACAAGCTTCTATTCATGCTGGAATTCCTTTTAGTGTACCAGCCTATAATATCAACATGTTGTGTGGCTCTGGTTTAAAGTAGAATATAGATTTTATATTTATTAACTTTTTAAATAATTGAAAATTAAATTTTAAAAAGAACCATGTTAAATTTTCTGGAATAGTCATTTTTGCATTACGAATAAATAGCTCACCAACAAACAACATTGACTATTACAATATTATTATTATGTCTTATAATAATAATATTATGGGCATAATTTCCAATTTTTCAAGATTAAAATATTTTATTTTATAACAGATATATGATATTTTATAAGCAATTTGCTAATTAAGAGGGGAAGTGAGCCATATCGGTAATGTGCACTCTTAAGGGTTTGAGGTTTGATTATCGGTGATTTCATTTGCTGAGCAGTAGATCTTATAAGTGATTGGAGTTGCCATTTCTCTCTCCAGCAACAAACTACCCACACGTCCTTGTATAAATACGATAAAGAAATTATTGGAAAGGCTGCTTTGAGTTTTCATTGGTCATAATAGCATGTACACGAGTGGTTCACGATATTTTAACAAATTTCATAAATTGTACATACTAAGTATTTTGTTACTTTTTTAAAATATAATTTATAAATTCTTAGATGTTAAGTTTATATATATTTTTTTAAATTTCAAAATAGCCATTTTTTAGAGTTTTTCTTATGAATAATTTTAATTTATCAATAACAATTTTAATTTAAATACTCATCTAGTCACAAGCATTTTAATTAATACAGTGGGTATGTAGTGTGGCTGGCAATGTCTGTACTAGTATACATACAGGTTGATTCACTTATCATGAACCACTTAATTAATCCATTAAACTAAATAACTGAAAAATAAAAACAGTATTAATGATTTTTTTATTTGTTTATTTTTTTTTAATGTTACTCTTAATTTTTCAATCATAAAGTTTTTTTATGTGTCATCTCTTATACCTTTTAAGGTTGTCAACTGTAATTTTTCAAATGGCAATAACCGTAATTAACATTTTAAAGTAATGATTAAAGATAAAGAGTGGTAAATTAAAAAATTTAAGTGACACTCTTATAAAGTATAAGAAATGAACATAAAAAAAAGCTTTATGATTAAAATATTTAAAAAAAAAATTCAGCTAAAATTATTTACTTTTTAATAGGGCTGTTGTTCTTGGATATCAAGCAATAAAATGTGAAGATTCTTCTATTGTCATCGCAGGAGGTCAAGAAAGTATGAGTAATGCACCTCATGTTGTAAACATAAGATCAGGTATCAAAATGGGCAATACTGATTTAATAGATACAATGATTTATGATGGACTTACTGATGCTTTTAATAATATACACATGGGAATAACCGGTAAGCTCAATAAAATAAATAAATAAAAACCAGCATTAGTCATTAATAAATAAGTTGTATAAATTAATTATTTAAGTTAATATATTGCATTTATAATATAAACTATTTACAATAAAACTTTTAACCTTTCTAAAAATATTTATAGCTGAAAATATTGCTGAAAAATATGAGCTATCAAGAGAAACTCAAGATCTCTATGCCCTAGAGTCTCAAAAAAAAGCTGCCGAAGCTATTAAAGATGGCTTATTTAAAGATGAAATAGTACCAATAGAAATAAAAATTCGAAGGTCAACAGTTTTATTTGATAGCGATGAATATGTAAAGCCAGATACTTCTATTGAATCACTATCTGCACTAAAACCTGTTTTTAAAGCGGTATAAAGCTCTTAAAAAGAACTATATATTACTGAAACGACGTAATATAAAAATTAATAATTGATGTTTTACCAAGAAATATTAATTATTAAAAGATGCATAAACTCTAAAAAAAACATTTATTTTGGCTAGTTGCAAAATAAGTAAAATTTTATATTGGATATTAACGTAATCTTGTAATTTTATTTATAGATAGCTTTCTATATATGGTCATCTAATAAATTCAAAACTATTTTATCTTTTATCTCTAGTTACATTATTGTACGCTTTATTATACAAATTTTTGACCAAAAATGTGAGATGATTTACTTGTCAAATAATTATAAAAATAAGTAGTTAATAATTTAATATATCATCTTTGGAGAAGAAACTAGGTAAATAACAAATTTTTTTACATTTTGCCATTAATTTTTAATGCAATTAGATTTTATTAATTTTATTTTCTCAAAGTTGTAAAACATAGGTATAAATTTAAAATAATTAGATTAATCTACTCTTTTGATATTATAGTTTCTAAACATATTGAAAAAAATATAATAATATTTAGTTTCAGAATTTAATATAATTTTGTTGGTGCCAAAGAATATTAGGTTAGCTGTTTTTAGCTATCAGACTATATTTGAGATTTATATATTAAAGTTTTAATATTCAATAGAAACTATAAGTTCAATAATTAAAAATGTATTCCCTTAGCTATTCAATAAATATTGAAATTAAAGTTTTTGGACTTGCGTCGTTTTTTAAATATTGGATCCATACACTAATTAATACTTGTTAATAACATAATTATATTTAAAAACTAGAATGGATCCGTGACTGCTGGTAATGCATCAGGTTTAAATGATGGTGCTGCTGTTGTTCTTTTAATGAGCTCTGAAGAATGTAGAAAACGAGGTTGTAGTCCTTTAGCAAAAATTGTTTCACATGCAGAGTGTGGAGTTGATCCTAAAATTATGGGTACTGGGCCAGTACCTGCAGTATTAAAAACTGTAAGCTCAACATTTCAAATAAACAACTTTTTTTTTTATAAATATTTTTCTTATAAATTACAATTTTAAATAGTTTATAATCTCAATTTTAACAAGACAAAAGGAGATAAGTGACAATTTTATTACTTTCTAGAAAAGCAAAAATATTTATATATTTAAGTAGTAAAAAATATAATCTTGATGTATAAATATTTTAACATCAAATCACTATAAGAAAACAATTACAATGATTACTTAACTTTAAAACTTAATTAAAAAACATATTCAGAATTATTTGTCTTTTTTGAAAATTTATGTATTATTATGAGAATTGTAGAAATTATTTTTTTTTAACTGCAAATACTAATATTGAGGAGTAAAGAATACTAAAAATAACAAATAAGAATGTTGAAATTGTTTAACGTAATTGATATAATTGGTATGAAAAAACCCAGCACAGTGGGGTCGTGGCATAGTTGGGTTCAGTATAGATGATATCTGACAGTGATTAAAATCACTATCATAAAAAACGCTTCCATGCAAATCTGTAGATAGTGTTTAATTTAAAAATGAAGACAAAATAAAGTCCGAAATTTTTTTTTTCATAATAAAGTATATTACATTAGCTTTAATTTAATATATATATATATATATATATATATATAAGTGTCAGTATTTCCGGAACACTTTCAAAAGTTAAGTTGAAAAAGTTGTCATTTTAAATCTCAGAAAAATTTAAAGATTTGTACATTTTTCTATATCCTATTGTTTACATAATTTTTAAATGTAATTTAAACACATTCCCTTAAATATAATTAGAAATTAGAAATAACTTCTGTCAATTTTAGGGGAAAAAGTATTTAAAATAATTTGGACAAGATTCATATAATTTTTAAGGTCTGGTATATAGTACAATTGAAATTTTACAAGCAACAATTTAAATAGAGACTGAAATAACTATAACGAGATGTCGCCTAGAATTACCCCTTTGAAAAAGATGGTATTTAAATTATGTTGTTACATCAATAAACATGATAAAAATTATGTTATTCTTTTAGTTATATAAATAGTACTTGAGCATTATAATTATATTTAGAATAAAATATTTAAAGTAATAGTTCAAGGTTAATCTTTAAGGTAGCTAGGTGTTATTAAAAAAATAGTTTTATCATATACATTTATATGTTATTTGATGTATTAGGTTGAAAAAGCTGGTTGGTCATTAGACAGTGTAGATTTGTTTGAACTTAATGAAGCATTTGCTGCTCAATCATTAGCAGTACTCCATGATTTGGGCTTAAAATCAAATAATGTGAATATAAATGGAGGTGCTATTGCATTAGGTCATCCAATCGGAGCATCTGGTATTTATAATATTACTTTCTATAGAAATCTAAATCATTATTGCTTTATTTAATGTTCAGTATTTACAAATGAAAAAGTAATACTTTAAGAACACATCATTATAGACATTAAATAAATTAGCTATTAAGAGATTTGACTTTTAGAATATGAAGATATTTTGTATTAAAACAAACTACATTAAAAATTATATTTATCAAACAATTTGGCTAGAAAAAAAATAAAACTATTTTAAAAATTTGATAAGAGAACAAAACGTTTTTAATACTTCTANTCACTTACTGAATACTCTGTATGTACATATATATTAATGAGTAGGTTTAAAATAATTGTTTTAGAAAGTGACACTTATAAGAATTTTAAGTTTTTAATATCCTTTATACATTCATTAGTTGAATTATGTAGAATTAATAGAGTAAGTTTTTTTTATTCCTAAAAGCTGACATTAAATGACTTATTTAAATAATAAGTTCAGTTAACTCTTTGACTACATATTATGTATTGAAATCATAGAAATAATATTAACATTTTAAGTTAATGAGACAAATTACAATATTTCATAACTACTTTATAATTTTAGTATGTATTTATAAATTCATTCATTTTTTTAAGAACTTGGTCTTTACAATTATTTTAAATTTGAAATAATTAAAAATAAATTATTAAATATTCAAAATGTATTTTTATGTATAAGCAATAATATCTTTTAGAACTAAAAATAATTTAATTAGTATTATTATTCTTAATTAAAAAAAGCTTTTATTAACTAAATTATTCATTAAAAACACACAAGATTTAAAAAAATATCATTTATTCCAGGTGCCAGAGTGTTGGTTACACTCATCCACTCTTTAATCAGAAATGGAAAAAAACGTGGAGTAGCATCACTATGTGTTGGTGGTGGAATGGGAATAGCCATTGCTATAGAGATAGTGTAATTTGAAACCTATTTTGAAATAATTGGCATTTAATTGGAAATTCTTTTTTATATTAAATTTTGTATTGAACTTTATGGATTTTTAGTATTAATTTGTTAACCTGTACAAGTGTTAATTTTGTTAGTAACTTATTGATATATTATTAATTTGAACATCTTCAGCCATTATTTTTCATTTTTTTGCAACCAGTTGACTATTATTTAAACTGTTGAATTTGTTTAGTTTATCTTAATTATATTTTTTAAATATCTATCTTTGTTGGGTGTGAGGTGTATAATGTGATGTTTTGACAGTATTTATTTATTAATTTTATATTAAATTCATAATATAATTCTTGTTAATATTTATTTTGCAAATAAAATATATATTTTACTTTGTATATTTCAATAATTGTTTTTTTAATACAGAATACATTAAAATTGAAGATTTTAATAATGCAAATTATAATTTGTTATTTTACACATTTTCTACACATTTCTTAACATAATTTTACAATATTTGAAATTAAAACAATTTTTTATTAATATTCTATGTTTTATTTGTTTTTGTTGAAAACAAAATATTGATAATCATTAATAATCAAAATAAAATTAAGGCTATGATTATGCAAGAAATTATGACAATATCATTTTTAGCAAGTATCTAATTATGTAACTTCTATCTTTATTATTTATACTATATTTTAGTAATTTTTGTTGGCAGTTGACTGTATGTTGATAATGACTTTTTTTTGTACAATAAAAATAAAATTATTAACCAAATTTTTAATGTATAATTAAATATATATATATTTCTAAATAATTTAGTAAAATTGAAAAAAATTAACAATAAGTTATTAGTTTTCATTAAATAGTTTTACTTTAATAGTTTATACATATTATTAGGTGTAAAAGGAAAAAATCCTCCAAAAATTTTAGACTTACAAAATGATTTATATTCATAATTTATAGGTTTACTTGCTAAAGCTTTTATGGAAGGAATACATAGTTTACTATGATTTATAATAAATGATGTCCAGACAGATATTTCATTTTTATCGTTATCAATAAAATACGAACCCCATTTATTTGGTTGTAGCAGTCCAATATCAGTATTAAATTCATTAGAATCAGAATCCATCTTCATTTCTTCAACTATAGCAATAGTATCCAAACCAGAAAATTTTTCGGGAGTAAGGACATCTTGTAATATATTATCACCCATATATAAGCATTTAGGATTTGATTTACCAGTTTCTTTTTTAAATAAGTTGTAGAGTTGAGACCAATTACCTTGACTATATATTTTACCAAGACTTATTGCATCAGTTATACTTGTCTCATTTAAATCATCTGTATTGTAAAAAGGTCTATTTTGATTAAAAAAACCAGGCTTTTTAGAAAAAAATACAGCTATATCAAATAATTCTTTCCAATTAGCTCCTAAAGATTGTGTTGCACTAAAACTTGCATAATCTACATGAGAACCAGATATTAAGAACATTTTTTTAGTCTTTTTTAATTCCTTGAGCCAATTAATTACATAATTTGGACATTTGTTATAATATAAGGTAGGAGAAGTTTTAAGATTAAAAAAAAAGTCACCAACATTAGTTGAAAAATTATCTCTAGAATACATGTAATGAAGTCCTTGAAAAATATCGGGCCATACATTATAAGTAGTATTGGTACAGGCATCATCTACACTATCAATACAGCGTGCAAAAACAAGGGATATTGGAAAATCAAAATAATCCAATAAAGGACGTATTTTCTCTGAAAGTGGGCCATTCCAAGTATCCATAAAATTTTGAATAAAACTGTCTGTTACAGACCAAGAACAACTAGATCCATACACTGACATTATCTCTTCATCAGACATAAATCTAGTACCATGAGATGATTTCAAAATTTTCCCTGTACCATTTAGTTTTAAAACATTACCTCGTTCAGTATCTAATAATAATCCTTTCTGTAGAAAGGCGAAATCTATTGGTTGTTGTAGATATTTAGCAGAATAATTATGTGTTTTAATTAGGTACTCAGTTATTACATCATAAATCATTTGAACCATAGGTGCGATTCTGTATTCACAGATCGTGTTGTCCAAGTCAAAACCAATACAGTCATAGTCTGATAAGTTGAAAGTATTAATCATTTTCTAATTTTTATTGGTTACTATTACTTAAAATCAGTATTATATAAAAAAAGAAGAGAAAATTTAAAAATTTAAATAAGTCTGTTGAAAGAAATTTATTATCAATACAATGATAATACCCAACGCACCTTTTTATTACCTAAAACAGTATTAGTTTGCATGATAACAATGATATTATCTTAAAGTAGTTATTTAAGTTTAAATTACTTACGTTTCAAATTTAAAATCACAAGCAAACAACTTTAGTAAGTACGTTACTTTCAAATTGATTTAAATTTCAGCAAAATGTATCAATGAATTAACTTAAAAAACTGCATTGTTAAACTAAAAAGAAAAAGGACGGTATGTTCATTTTACAATGTACATGATGTAAGAAATATAATTCTTCATTGTTGGAGAAAATTTTTACTATGTTCTATTATAAATGAATAATCTTGAGTGTTGATAAGATAAATTCGTTATCTAAAAATTAACAACCTCCACAAAATCATAAGTAGATCATTTAAGACAGCTATTGTTTTTTTTTAAATGGTTCAAGTATTTCTCTAGTAATAAACAAAGAAAATAATAGTTTATGATTAGTGATAAGTTTGTTTTATTTTTTTTATTATATAATTGTTCTTTACACTAAAATAATCTACAGATAACATGTTTGTACTTTGACTTACTGTTGTTCTATGTTCAAAGTCTTTGTAGTCCTGTACAATGTTTAACATTTTTTTAATAATTGAATTTTTATTTTGCCCCTGTATCTGTACAGAGTGATCGGCTAACTATGTCTCTCGTAATATCTTAAAATATACAAGTGTTATAAGCAATTTTTTTTCTAATCATTATGGATCTTTGATGAGTTGTTTCATAAGAAAATTTAAATGTCTACCACCATCCCTTATGCTTACAACTTGTATCAACTTCATATTTTCAAATGGCAGCCCTATTTTTTTTTACACCATTAAATTTAGTTTAATAAAAAAAAATATTTTATTTAATATTAAGAGCTCCACGGCTTTCTAAAGTTTAAGATTTATTAGGAAAAAATGATGACAGACTTGAACGTTATAAGTCGTAAATCGATAAGCGCTACCACTTTTATAAATAAACATACCAAGTTTACCTTAAACATTTTGACACGTGCGTTGACACAGTAAACCGGTAGCTCTTATTACTATATAAAATAATAATGTGACCGTGTTGGAAAAACTACTGAATTTTTTCATAAATTATCGTAAATTTTAAAGTAGCGTATCTTGTTTAAAATTCATAATGTTTTACTTTTTTTTTTGTTAATCACATTTTTTTTATGACGAGCAAAAATATATAAAAATAATATGGGTTGCCATTTGAAAATCTGGAGTTGATACAAGTTGTAAGCATAAGGGATGGTGATAGAAATTTAATTTTTCTTCTGAAACAGCTCATCAAAAAAATTGTTTATAACACTTGTATTTTTAAAGATATTACGTAAGACATAGTTAGCCGATCACTCTGTATAGTAATTACTTTAAATATTCAGAATTAACAAAAAAAACTTTACGAGGCTACAATTTTAGTTTATGATATTTTTTATTAATCTAATGGAAATATTTTTTAACAATTGTTAATAATTACTATCTTGAATTATTTAGTTTAGATACTTTATTTAATGGTTAGTTTCTAATATCTTAGTATATGAAACATTTTACTAATAGACTTTGTATAAATACTTGTGGTCAGTTGTAAAAACTACTTACAAATAGAACAATCAATAAATTATACAATTATTTGTATACTACAATTCTTAGATTAAAATATTTAAATTTAAATAGTTAGTATTGTGGTAAAATTAAATCATCGACCACATGGACTATTCCATTGGTTGTCATTAAGTCAGCTTCAATTACTTCTACATTATTAACCTAAAAAAATTAATTATAGATATAACTATGAGATTATATTTAACAAATAAATACATACCATTAACTTGTTTCCTCTGTGTGATAGTATTATAGTTTTATTTTTTGTTTGAATTTCGTACTGCCAATGTTTTTTTAATAGTTTTGTAGACAAAACACGTTCCACCTGATGATTATGCAAGATAGTGCGCATATACAAGGGGTTGTTAAAAATCCATATCAATCTATCTATGCCTAATTTTTTAAAAGCATTATTTGTTGGAATGAAGTAAGTGTTATGATTACCACAAAATTCTGGTGACGTTGCCGGTAAAATATCTAGTAAATTTACAGCTCGCATAAATATGCTAAAATAAATGTCTAGTAAATTATATGTAAACATTTTTTAGAAGATATTTATTATTTTACCTAAAGCTATTATTTTTTGATATTATGTCATGTACTGATATAGTCGAAGGCATAAGTACTTGATTCGTTAAATGAACAATTCCATTGAATCCTACTTTATGCTGCAAATTCAGTAATTGTCCTTCTACTCCAAAAGTGTTTTGAACACACTGAAGACGTAAATATTGTCCTGGAATAAAAGTCTCTACGATTTTGTTGTCATAAATATTTTTAGGTGTTACAACTTCTTTAGCAATATGATACTCTACAAACGTTTTTGCATATCCTGAATCTGTTTTTATACAATAAAGCTCTGTCGAGTCTATACCTAGTGTCATTATCAACATAATAATATGTTAATGACAAAATTCCTTAATAAAATCAATAAATTTTTCAATATACGTTCAATAATATTTTCATTATATAAATAGTATTTTTATTTATTTAACAAAACATTTTTTATTTTTAATTTTATTAATTCTTCACATTCTAACAAAAATAATATTAAATTAACAAAAAAATTTGATTCATTAAAAAAAAGTTTGTTGGAGTTATTTTAATAATGCATTTATTGATATTACCAAAATATTTTTCAGTGCGCTTAATATATAAATTAAAAATAATAAAATTAACAGACTTCTTACTTTTAATTGCTTGATTTGAAGGTGCAAAAACTGTTAACATGTTTTTTGTGTCAAAAGTTTGTGCTAAACCGGCTATATTAACGATTTGAAGGAACTCTGTTAGGCCCATGTCATTCATTATTTGTAGTACTGTTTTTCCTAATTAATTAATATGAAAAAAGTTTTTCTACTTTAGAAAAATCATTACATCAATTTTTGATTAATTAAATTAAATATATCAAAATATTTTTTAATATTAAAATTTAAATTAATATTTAATATAACCGAATCTCTTATTTAAAAAAGGACTGTTTCTAAATTTTGGTTTTTTTCAAAAGACTTGAAAAACTATTTTCAAGATTATTATTTTTATTATTATTCTATTCAATAATTTTCTCTTCTTTATTACCAATTAATAAGTTTATTCAATTTAACTTTTTGATATTAGCTTTGCCTTAATAATCATTTAAAAGTGATAAAATTATTCAAATAAATATTTGAATTTTTAGAAAAACACTGGATTTGTGTATGATAATTAAATTTGATTTAAAATTACATTAAATAAAGTTACAGTATAATATTGTGTATCACAAGAAAAAATACATTTTGCAAAAAACTGATTTGGGCTCTTATTCCAATAAGCGATTTACTTAGTAAAATTCACCTTCATTATAATTGCTTAAATCAAAATTAACTGCATAAAGTATTCCATTAAACGTCAATTTCAAATCGCTTTTTATGCAGTATCCTTGAGTAGTCGCTGAGTTTAATGCATCACAATTGAATTTTATAGAATGATCGTCTCCTAGAGTTTTTATAATTTGTCCTTCAGTTATTGCACTTAAACAAATTGTTGTAGGTAGAAGATGTTTCAAAATGAATTCTATTCATAAAAATATGTAATATAATGGAAAAAATATTTAAAAAAAATTAATTAATATTAAGCGTATACAATTATTTATTGAAGTAAAATTTAGTAATTTGACCAATTTACTTTTTGATATTTAAATTGTTCGTATACTTACAAAACTAAATTTATTTAAAGTGTTATCATAGATTTATAAAAATATTATAACTCCGAGTAATGCAATGTACCTTTACTGAGCTTTTCATCGTCTAGTATTCTACTAAGTTGATTATTTGGTAGTTTTCGAAGAACATTATCTATTGGAGCTAAAACAGTGTATGTTTGAAAAGTTTCTTTTAAACTCTGGTGCATACGTGACGTTTCAATCATTTTGGAAAATATTGTAAGCTCAGTGTTCTAAGACCGGAAATAATTTTAATAGTAGAATTTAAATTTAATTAAATTAAGTATGTTATACTTGATTAATAATTTGCACCAAATTTCGATTTGAGTAGATATGAGGGTTTAGTACGGTATTAATTAAGTGCACTACACCATTTTTAGCAATTCGGTTTTTTCTGATCAATTTTACACAGTTAATCGTTTCAACCTTTTAATAAATGATAACTTTATTCTCATGTTTATTGATTAAATGTTTTTTTAATTTTACTTGATTGAAGTGTTTGTTGAACCTTAAATGTAAGCCATCGTTTAAGGTTTCTAAAAGTGTATTAGATGTCATGTTGTGTGTGATGAGTCTATAAGGTACAACATGGTACTTAATTAACTCGCTTGTTGTTAATTTGCGTGAAACCAAAGCTAGCTTCAATGATTTGTCCATTTTCTGGTTGAAGTAACAGTATAAAAAAAATAAAAACTAGGTATACAATTTTGACTATATTTAAATTTTTTATAAAATCATTATTCTTTCATGCATTTGAGGTAGTGTAATAAGTACTTTTATTAAATTAAAAAAAGTAACTTAGCGCATGTTCGGTATAAATAAGAAATTCTTAGACGTAGTATATCTAATAACTTTTGTTAATTCTCTAATATTTTCAAGCATAAATAAATTATTTACTAATTATTACTAAGTATTAACTGCTAATACCTGTACAATTTCATAAGGAAAGCATGAAAAGTTATAAGTTCTTAATTATTTTATATCATAAATATGCTCAAATAAATATACTCTTATCTCCCTAACCCCAAATTTGATTTTACAGCATAAAAAAATTATTTTTTGTTTCTCCAGTCTTTAGAGAAATCAAATAAAAAATTATTAATAAATATTCACTGCAAATGCTTCATCAGTTGGTACAAAGAGTGTATAAGGTCCTCCAATTTCCAATATATCAAATAGACCGCATTGCATAGCATATCGTGCAAACTCATTAGCTCCTAGTAGCTTAATAGTTTCTAACATATTATTGGGTGATTTTACTGCATAAAAAACGTGTCATGTTTTAATTTTCACTGTTTATTTTATTGATCATACTAATATTATGTCTAACCGCCGTTGTTCTTGTGAGTTCACACTTACCTATAGTGCATCCAGGAAGACCTTTCAATTGCTTAAATCCTTCGCAACACTCGTTCCTACTAAGTCTGCGTATAGAAAAAAAAATTAAATTTTGTATATAATGCATTATTTAGAAGGGGGATGGCGACTCGTAAGTCGAAAGTGACTAACGTGATATGTCCACATGTCTGTTTTTGGCGATTATCCAAAGTCAAACCATGTTCTCTATACATAGTCGGCAAATCATTATTACCATCATAAAATACTTCTTCTATCGTACACACGTTTTTCCTGGAAATTGTTTTTAATGATTTGAATTTAAAAATAACTCCAATAATTTATAAATATTTATATTTTGGTAGAAAACAAATAATAATTTAAAAATTGACGCTGGTCCACTACATAATCTAGCAAAAGCGTGCAATTTCTGCAAAAATATTTTTTTGTGTGACTTACCCGTATTTTTGTAGTGTTGCATTATTATAATAATTGTTTGCGTTAACTAGTTGTTGAATTATTATAACGAATATTGTAGCGATAACTCTGAGCATTTTTTAGAATAATTTATTAAAGTGTGTGCCCTACTGTGTATTAAACTGTTCAATGATATCGTTGTGGCAATTAAAGTTATGTGGGTGGCTTTATAGACTAACTTAATATCCGATGAATTCTGTATATGTAATTAAAACAAAGAGATCAATTTGACTTTGACCTAAATCCAGCCCTTTAATTATTAATCTACCTTTTTATTGCTCATATGAGAAATTAAAGATTACTTAGATTGTCTTCATATGTCGTTAATCATATTAATTTAATTATTTTTCATTGTAGTGAACAATGTTTAGACCTATCTGGACGCTGCCTCTTAGTCAGAGTTCGATACAAAAACTTAAGGCGCAAGGATTCAATTGTTGCGAAGATCTAATCGATTTACCAAGTAACATATTTATTATTGAAGTATGATATAATTGTAATTAGTTAGACAGATTTATAAGCTTTGTGTGAAGTTTAAATAATAGATAGTGAAAAATATTAAATTTATTATATAAATTTATTTTTTGAACAGTTGACAAAGTATAATATATAGATTTAAATTTTTTTATTGAAATTAATTAAAGTTAATTTCAATTTTTTAGATGGTTCAGAATATTTTAGTGGACTTTTAGAAACTGAAGAAGAAATTCGTGAGATGTTGAAGCATCCAAAACCTAAAATTGCTTCAGAAATGGTAAAATATTATATTTTATGGAATAATAGTTTTTATAGATGATAGTTTGGTTTATAGGCTGAAGAGCGTGATTGTATTGCTACTTTTTGTAAAGGTATAGATGAATTATTAAATGGGGGAGTGCAAGTTGGAAAATTAACAGAATTAACAGGAGCCCCAGGTTCAGGAAGGAGTCAACTATGGTATTCTAATTTTATCATGAAATTATTTTTGACTTTAATGGTTGGTCTTATTTAATAGTATGCAGTTATGCGTGTCTGTTCAAATACCTGCTTGTTTTGAGGGTTTAGAAGCTGAAGCCATTTATATTGACACGAACTCTAATTTTTCTCATGTCCGACTTACTGGTATGTTATATTTTTAATCTGATTAAGTTGATACAACGGTAACATGTTTTCACTAAATATCTTAGAGAAAATTACGAAGACATTGTTTCTATAATTTTATTAAAACTAATAAAAAATTTATTAAAAATAAATGTTCTTTGCTATCATAGAAATATTATATATATGTGACATAAAATAAAGAAACGCTTGAAATTTTAGATACTAATGAGTATAATTATAACATAAATAAAAACCTTTAATTAAAATTTACTTATATTATTTTGCCTGTTAGGTCCAAAAATAAATATACGAAATATTTATTTATCTTTTATAGTTATTTTTATGTTTTAGAAATGATAGAAGCATTTCAGGAACATGTTTCTAGAGTTTTGACAGGTAGTAACATGTTTAAGGGATCAAAAACTGAATTATTAAATACTCTAACGACTACTAAAATGTTTGAAAAGGTACATGTAATTAAAATGAACGACTTAAATCAACTGTATGCATTATATGATCTCATTAAACAATATTCCAAAGTAATTCTAAGTTTTGTTATTTTATTTAATATTTTATATGTTGTTTTATCGTTTTTTTTTAAGGTTAAATTAATAATAGTCGATAGTTTTGTCATGCCTTTATATAAATTAGACAATTCATTAAAAAAGAATAGTATTGTTCACAATGCTTTAGATATACTTATAACAATTGCTCAAAAGCATAACGTCGCTGTAAGTAGTTAATATTTAATTATTAAATGTTGCTATCAGTTTATATGAATGTATTTTTTGTTCAGGATTATAACTATATTAAAAATACATTTAAAATATATTTTTAGTTTTGAAGAACATTAGCCACAATATCAATTTTTATTATAACATAAGTATACGTTTAAAAATAGTAAAATATAATTTAAAAATCTCTGCAGTAAACTTTTAAATAAAAGTTATAAATAATTTTTTTTTAGTTTTGATTAGTTGTCAAGTTTAAGTGTTACCATTATATTGATTTATGTGGGTTTTCAATATAATTGTAAAAATATTTAATAATTTGCCAAACATTCAAAAACTACATATAAAACATATAAAAGTATCATTTTTTAAGTTCTGTTTCAACTACTAATCAAAACATGTATTATTATGGGTTTTGGGTGATTGTAGTTAGATGATTGAGATGTCAACTAATTATAAAAACATTATTTACTTACCTATAAGTTATGTTTAATTCTTTTTTTAAGTTTCAAAACAATGTAATTATTTTATTTTGTCAAATATTTATAACTATTTTTTAAATTAAGTTTCCAAAAATTAACCAAATAAGGATGTAGATATTTTTATTATATTTAATTTGATGTATCAATTATTCCTCTACGAATAGATGTTTAAAATCTATGATTTGAGACATTTTTGCTAATATTTTTCAATTACTCGTGTTTTATTTTGGGGAAACCTATCGTAGTCTGGTAAAATTCGCATGCAAAGATGAACATAAGTAAATAAAAAATTTCAACATGCAATATTATTAATCTCTTTTAATTTTATAATTAAGACATTTTTTACTAAGATTATAACGCCTTAATGGAAGAGTCTTATTTTTTTGAGTGTAGTGATATGATTAATCTTATTTCTAAAAAAAACTTGGCGTGTGACTGAGTCTTTTATTATAAAAAAAGACATTTTGAAAGTTTTATTAAAAGAAAACTATTTGAGTATGCTTCATTTGGTGCCTTCTCTTAGGTGGTACTCACAAACGATTTGACTACTATGATAAATGACAAAGAAACAATGGTATTTCCAGCATTAGGTGAAACATTTGCCCATCGTATGCATTACAGATTATTATTAAGTAAAACACCTAATAATCCCAATAGTTACACAGCTTTCTTGAAAAAAAGCGTTGAACAAGCTCCGACAGCGGCAAATTTTCAAGTAAGTACTGCAATGTTATTTGTTATTTAAAAATATGTATTTTTATGCGATATTTCGATTATTCACTTAAATTATACAATTTTATTTACTTATATATAAAGAAACTCCTGTATAATATATTTAATATACATATAATATATTTCATAGTTAAATGATTAATTAATTTACAGCAGGTTGTACTCCATTGCTACAAATGTAAATTTTTTTTTATTATTAGTTTTTTCTAAGTTAATTAATTTGACTTACAAGGATAACAACTTTATTTTTTTAGGGCAAATATATGTCTAATTAGATTACGAGTTCAGAAAAAAACTAATAAAAAAAATCTCTGGCCGATTAAAACTTTTGAACCAATATCCTAAATATATGAATTCTTCTATACAATTTTTTTTTTTAAATATTTTTAATCTCTCTTAGAGAATAAAGGGAATTTTGTTCAAGTGTTAAAACTTTCGAAACGCTGTTTTCGAAATTGTTATCGATTAGTCATTTTAGCTTCGATGCGAAGCTGAGAAGGAATTAATTTTACTATGATGTGTTTCTTTTTTTTTGTCTGTTACCACTTAATCTCAGCTCTCACTGAACCGATTTTTATGAATAATAAGTCAAAAGATCACAAATTGTATCTAGTCAAAGACATTACCCTCAAAATTCCCCGTAAATGGGAAAAATCCCCCAAAAAATTAAAATTTTAAAAACCGATAATTTTTGACATTTTCTCAATTTTTTTTTCTTAAAACTGTCATAACATTTTCAAAAATGAAGAAATCATTATAATTTTTTTTTATAGATACCTTAGGTATTTACCTATCATTTGATATAATTTTGTGAACATTTGACCCTATAACAGTCCATTGGAAGAATTTCAAAATGGCAACTTTTTATTAATGTTCCGGAAAGACTGACACTTTTATATATACTTTAAATTAAAACTTATGTAATATACTTTAATTTGAAAAAGAAACATTTGATCTCTGGACTTGTCTTCATGGTGAAAATGACCATCGTATACAAAAATATGCTATTTTTGTAAAAAAGTTCTTGATATTAATTTTACATTTTTTAACATTATGTTGCTATAACTTTTTAAAAAATACAGAAATCAATTCTATTATTTAATGATAAATACTTTATACATACCTCTTTCATTCGGCATATTTTTTTTAAATCGGACCATTTCCCTTTATTCAGGGGGGTTCAAACTTTTGAAAATGCGTATAGAGAGTAAAACTTTTTCAACTTAACTTTTGAAAATGTTCCGGAAATGCTGACACTTTTATATACACTTTAAATTAAAGCTTATGTAATATAGTTTATTTTGAAAATTCTGGGTTTTGTATTTTATTTTATTTTAAAATACCTGACAAGGGGAGTACACTGATTTTCATAAATATTATGTAAATCAAATTGATATAGCATAGAAAGTTAAAGTTATTAAATTTTTTTGCTTTTTTTAAGTCGAGAAAAATAACTTTGAAATTTGAACTAGCTTAAATTACTATTTTTTTACTCTATTTGTATGTGCTACTACTAGACTATAATATTCCAAATTTGTTGGTAACATGTTGCTATATAAATCATTTATAAAAAAAAATAATCGTTAATTTCTCCTGAATTAACAATGGATTTTTACAATTATAATACGCTCTATTGAGTAGANATTTTATTTTAATAGAAGTTGATGTTGCTTTTGCAATTATCCATTAATTTTTTAAAATTAAACACTATCTACAGATTTGCATCTGTATTTTTAACAACTTTTTTTATTGGTTTTTTTAGTTAAAGTAAATCATTAAAATTAATTCAATTCATATTTCAATTAATTATAGAATCTTTTTAAACACCAAAAGTTAATTAGAAATGATTACTATGATTTTTTATTTAAGTGTTCTATTACGATAAAAATGTAAAAAAAAATCGAACTTTTCTGATAAATAGTAATTATAAAATTTGCTGACTGCACATTTATCTTAACTATACAATTTTTTTAATTCTCATAAAATTCTCATAAAAAANACTTTTCTGATAAATAGTAATTATAAAATTTGCTGACTGCACATTTATCTTAACTATACAATTTTTTTAATTCTCATAAAATTTTCTATTAATGATGTCAATTTCAAACTTTCAAATTGATCTAAAAGTTATGGTAATAAATTAATTTTTTTTTACTATAAACTTTCACAAATATAAACTTAAAAGGATTAAAAAAATAAGTTAAATATGTAATTTTCTTTATTTTTAAAATATTAATAATGAAAATCAGTATTAATTTTAAACAATTTTTTTTTGTTCTTAATTATTTTTTTTATATGTAAATTCTTATTTTTTAATAATAAGTAATAACATTAAAACTTAGAAATGATAGAAAAAGTCTAATTGCACATTTGAAAACATCGCGAAAAGTTTATTTAGAAAAAGTACATTTTTGTTTTTTATGAAAGTTCCTTATAGTCCAGTGTATAAAACTTATAACTTTGTTATAAGTAACAAAAATGTTTTATTGAAAAGTATCGCATCAAACCCTTAAAATTTTTATACGCGTTAAAAGTAAAGGAATATATAACTTCTTTATTATTTTTATATCTTCGTGAAAATTACAATCTAAAATTATTGAATATGAAAATCATACTAAATTTAATTACTGTAATTATTATTTATTCATATATTATAATTATAAATCAAATAACTAATCGGGATAAAAATAAGGGAATAAGAGTTATTGTTACTTTTAAAATAATCTACCTATTTCTTAAAATTAAACATTATCTACAGATTTGCATCGAAGCGTTTCTTATGATAGTGATTTTAATCATTGTCAGATATCATCAATACTTGTCCCAACTATGCCGCGACCCCACTGTGCTATCATTTTTTTATGTGAAAGTTAATTAAATATGTATATTGCTTTTAAAAAATTAGTTGATATTTTTGCAAGACAAAATATGAAACCTAATAAAACACAATTTGTTTTAACTTCATGTATTTTTTATTGTAGATTACTACAGCTGGAGTGCGAGATATTCATTCATAATGGAAAATGTTCTAATTTCAAAATTAAAGTTAATTATTTATAGTTATTGATACGAGGTATTTTTTCTTATGTATGTGAAATTTTAAAAACAAATAAATAAAAGTATTATAATTTAAAAATGGGTACCGTGATGTGATTTAACGACCAGGTCAAATATTTGCTAGTACTTTCAACTAGGCGTCAGTCAATCCTTTGATTAAATATAATAGCGTTAGCTGGCACTTATTATTTGTTGTCGATTAATTTATTGTGTCTGCTTAGAAGAACAGGGTATTCACCTCAAGAATAGGGTTAAAATGTTTTCCTTTCAAAATATCATGTTATTGCTTTTATATGAGTAAGTGTTTATAATAATCGTTGATTTATTGCCGACTTTAATATAAAATCATGTATTTTTACAATTAAGCTTCAATATTTTATTAATATTATATATTAATATAGCCAACATTTATTTTATGAATGAATTAAACTTTGTAACTTGATTAACCAATTAATGTAAATGCAAAGATGGGCAAGTGAATAGAAATAATTAACTCAAGTTAAGTTTGAACAATGTCGATAAATTAACAGTTAAAAGTTACTAAATTATACATTTAACTAGTTAAGTTAAATAATTTTTTTAACTTAACCAGTTTAAAAAAAGTTATAGTAAAAGATACAATTGTAACTAACAATAGTAAAAAAAAAATAACAATTTTAGAGAAATTGAGTGGCTAGTGTTATAAAAATTACCTTGTATACATTTTTAATTATTATTTAGAAAATTATGTATATTGTTATATAAATATATTATTTAGGATAGGGGAAAATTCAATTTAAATCCGTTTTATTTTAGCACCTTTGATAAAAGTAATTGTAATAAGTTTTCAACATAATCAAATTTGTAATTAAACACATTTAACAAAGTAGGTTATTTTTATTTATTTATAATTTTTGTTAGAAAATTACCTTGTTTTTACCAAGTAATCCGATTTTTTATGGAAGTTTTAGTTATTTTTAGGTTGTAAAACTAAAGATGTATAACAATATTTATTTTAAATTAATATATTTATTTTTTATTGTTAAAATATTTTTTATATTTAAGTAACAGGTCATCATAAGATTCTTATCAGCCATTTTTCCCTTAACTGCCCTCCTTCATTAAATAGCCATTCTACAGGAGCTGATGGTGAAATTGTTGTATTAAATCTAATGTAAGCTTTTTTTATTGACAAAGGCAAATCATTAGATGTTTTAAAAGATGTATTTGATAAATAGTTATCCACTGACATTTGTGCATTATTTTTAGGATAATAATTAAATATTTCATTGTCCTTGAACTGTAAAAAATCATCTTCTGAATCACTCTTTGTACTTTGTTCTGGTGACATTAATTGAGCCATATCATTATCCTTTTCATAATCTATAACTAAATAATCTATCAAATTTTGTCATTAGATTTAGCCCAATTAAGTTTAAACTTTGGAATTAAAACTGCTGCTATTTGACATTTTTCACAAGTAATATATCGTTAAATCTTTAAACAAAATAATATGTCTGATAATATTAAAGTTAATATTTTTTGAAGCGAGACTTCTATACAGAGGGTTCGAAAAAAAAGGATTATCGCGCATCACGGTTGGCCGTCACAGACGGATATTATTATTTTATTAAGTATACGGTCAAAATTTTATTGTTTCGCAAACATAAACTTTCATCTAATGGATTCTGTTGCTTTATCAGGTATACAGTCTAACTTTTACTGTTCGATAAACATATAAATTCAGTAAACTTTAGCATTGTATTTTTGAAAATTTAAGTAATGTTATTTAAAATGCATTAAATAATTTAATTTCAAATAATCTTGACTGTGCATAAAAAAATTAAAAAAACACAATAAACGCAATTTTTACACAATATCTTTATAACGTCCAATCAAAAAATTACATTAGTTATTTCAGTTATCATATTTGTATTGTCACACAAGGACAATAGTGTAAGAAAATTAATAATAAATTAAATTAATTTCATTTGAAAATACAATTTTTAGCTTTTTAATTTATTCCAATAAAAACCTAATATTCTATTAGTTGAATGACTGAAAGAAGTTTCACTTCATCCGCACATACATATAACACGCACTGGTTTTTTTTTTAATTAACAGTTTATTTATCTTTTTTTAAGTCTCTTCTTTAAAGCTTTGAACAAGAGGTCGACAAAATTTAAGATTTGTTAATTTTTCTTAGGATTTATTTATTGCACTTATGGTAAGTAACCTGATTATGCGTTACAGTTAGTAGTTTACTTAACAATGAAAATATCTAAATCTAATCCTATTGCAATATCACAATTTTTGATATAAAATCATTTTACTGTTCTTTTATTGGAAAATTCTAATTTTCAAAATAAAATAATTAAATTTGTTTAAATTAAGTATTTTAACAGTTAATTATTAATATTTTACATTATTTTTATAAACAATTCTTAAAAAATAAATATGTATTAATTTCGTGAATGTAGCATCAAAATATAAATTTTTAAATATTTTGTCAAAATTAAAAACTGTTCATTTGTTAGTATTCACGTGTCACCATACAAGTATAAAATATGTTACTCAAAAAATAACTATTCTATTATAAATTTGAAAATAAAAAATCAAAATCAATTACTTAAAAACTTAAGTTATAAAATATGTTATATAATAAGCTACTGTATGGACTAAAGGCTCTGTTATTTAGAACTATCAAAAGTTGATTGAATCACTGGCTCTTCTAAAAATATGGGGACGATAAGAACAACAAGCAAAGCATTAGTGCATAGTTTACCTGCTACAAATTATTAAAAATTACTGAGTATCTCATGAAAGATTTATAGTAGTGCAATGACTTCGAACATCTATAATTATTCTCTTTAATTAATAATTAATTCAAATAAATAATATGTACCCTCAATTATTAATTCTTGCATAAGAATCATTAATTTATTATTAAGAAATAAATATGATAATTATTTCGAAAATATAAATTATATATAGTAGATGAACATGTTCAATTGATAAAAAACGAATTTGAGTGATCCTTTTTTACATATTGAATGTGAACTTAAATAAAATTTTGATGTACTATTACTTGTGACTTCAATTTTTTTATGGACGTCCTAAATATTACATTTAATTTTGTTATAGGACAGTTACAATGTTTATATGGAGCCCCTAATACGTTTTACGATATATTTGTTTTGACATAAAAACAATACCATATCACCTAAACTAAACTAAAATTATGATACTTTTTAATTAATTAAAAACATATATTAACTGATTATTTTACTTAATGTAACTTTACTTAAAATATTTTAAATAACGTTTCATATAAAAACAGTCTTAAGAACTCGCATATAAATACTAAATTTCTTTATTTCTCTATAAAATTATTTTCAAAACGTTTTGTTGTTTAATATAAGCATAGTAGTAAATAGTAAATTACGATTATTCAGTAATAGAGAAGTTTTTGATATTGACTATTAAGTAAATTAATGTTTTTATTCATTATCACTTATAGTATATAACTTATAATGCAATTAATTCAATCATATATAATTAGTTCCAATTTTTATACGTTACCAGTTTATCAATTTTGTTTATATTTATTTTAAAACTGAACTAAATAAAATAAATATCCAGTTCAACACAAATGTAGTAATGTATAAACAAATTCTCACATAAAACGTTGAAGTTTTCATAACACTCTTTTATGTTCTTAATACAACATAATATTTATATTGTCTTTTTAGAATAAAAAGGAATAAATTAAATGAAGAAGTTTTATTTTTTATTTACCTATAATCAAATAAAAACTTATATATAGAGTGCTCAATATGTAAGGAAACAGGTCAGTTGTTACAAACAATGAGAACAATAAAAACCCGTTTCCTTACTTAGTATAGATATCAAAAAAGAATTGCCTAATGATTTTCTATTCGATTATCTTTTCTAAATTATTATGCTATTGATTTATTCAAACTAACCTTTGACATAATTCACGATTTATCACAATTTGTCTATTTTTGTTATTTGTAATGTTATGTCCATTCAGCTCATTTGTGTACATGACATTGGCATGGTTACGTCATTCCTCAGTACGAAGTATACTTATCTATCTTTGCTATGTCAATGTATGCTTTTGTAAGCTTATTTAGCTAAGGTAATTTATATAATGAGTTTATTGTTTCGAGTTTTATTAGTTAAAATTTAAGTATACATTAATAATTATTAATATTCAATTATAATTGAATAAAGATTATTCGAGCTACAGTTAAAAAAACTGCACACATATATTACAAAAGACTACATTCCAAAATGCAATCCCATCCAAACCGTCTCGTTACTCAGCTACATTCAACAATTCTTCCGGGCAATCCAAACAGACGCCTCAAACGCAACTGGTCAAGAGACCTTAATATTATTTAACCCACTTAAAATTAATAATACACAGGTGGCTCTAATGTGAGCTTCCTCCTCACTGCTTTATCATTGTCTATTTTATTCCTATTCACATATTTACTTATTGTACATATAGCTGTATAGATTGTAAATTTTCCAATAAACGTTCTTAAAAAAAAAAAAAAAAAAAAAAAAGATTATTCAAAAATGATAATAATTGTTAAATTTTGTATTTAAATTTTTAAAATTTTTTACATCATATTTAGAACTGTATAAAATAAGTGGTTAAATAATTCATTCGAAGATTTAATAATTGCTTTTAAGTTTTTTTTTCAAGAATGCCTTCAAAAAATAATTTTTAATTAATTCTAATATAAAGATATCTTAGACCTAACTGACAACGCTCATAATTTTTGATTCAGTTATCATTTTGTTGATTTTTTAAAATAATTATTGCCTTTTTAGACTGCGTTTAAAGTATATTTTTTATTATTCATCACTAATAAAAATTAGTTACACTATTTTTTTTCTTCAAAATTTTAAAATTTTTTAAGTCTTTTTTTACGAAAAATATTGATAACAATTTTAGGAGAAGTGCTCGTTGAGTTACTAAAATTTTAGTACATAAAGTTGATTTGGAACGTGTCATCATAGTATACGTACACTAGTACGAGCTGTATGAACCTTTACTTTACACTCATTCTATGTATAAAATACTTGTAAATCAGTGAGCACTTTTTCTAAAATTGTTATCGATTATTTTCGTATTATAAATGGTAATTTTGAAGAAAAAAAATAGTATTATTATTTTTTATTAGTGATGAATAATAAAAACTATAATTTAAACGTAGCCTAAGAAGGCATTAATTAAAAACAAAAAAAATGTACATAAAATTATAAATTAAAATTCACTAGTGTTCCCAGTTAGGTTTGAGCAATCAGTACAGTATCTACGTTCCAGTTCAAAACTGAATATGTTGTAGTGAAGATATAATTCATTATTCAACTTTAAAGGTTACAAATACAATATAATATTGCCAAGTTATTTCTTAGAGCACGTTTTCAAAATTGATTTTTTCATTATTAAATTATGCTGGAAAAATCAATTTTTTGGGAAGTTGCAGTTTTGAGGTGCGTCGTTGTATATAAGAATGATACATTAAGGATAAGACCTTTATTTTCTTGGGAAATATATGAAAAACAATTTAAATAAATTATATTTAAAATTTTTGTAAAGGAAAAAGAATGTTTGATTCAAAAAACCTAACAGTTATATGTAGTTCAATAATTTTTTTTTCATCCCTTAAGGGTTAGAAAACCTAAACTTTAATTTTCTCTAATGTGAACCCTTATTTTGAGTTACGATATGAGAAAAATATAATTTAGAAACGATATTATTCTTATAATATTTTTTATTTGATGAAGCATTCTTCTTATATTGCTCGTTAAAATTTAGCAATTAGTGGAATTTTTATACAGATAATTTGCTGTTTAGCATACAGTAGTTGTCATTTCTTTATAATGTCTCATAAACAAGTTTTTATTGATAATTTTTGTTATCATATCTGTCAATTAGAATAGCATAAATAAATACTGATAATAAATTATGGCACATTGGAACAGATTATTGTTGATTCCGTGATTATGAAAACTAAATAAATGATGATGTTATATTTTAAATTCAAATCTTTTAACAACTTTAAAACTCAAAAATTTGATCAGATAAGAAATAATATAAGAATAAAATTGTTTGAAAATTATTTGTTTATCATATCGTTAAACAAAAGTTCTCATTATATAAAATTAAGATATAGGATTTTTATTTATGGAGGGATAAAAGAACAATTATTTAACTACACATTATTGTTGAATTTTTTTAATCAAACAATATTTCCTTTACAAAAAAATTAAAATATTCATGTTTTTGAAAAAGTGAGTTTCTTATCTTTAATCAATCACTCTTTAGAAGCAAAAATTTTAATGTACAATGGCATAGCAAAATATAATTTAGAGAAATGGATAGTTATTATTTAATACTATTCCGAGTTTATTTATATTTTTTTTTAACTAATATAAAAAAAACGGGCAAAAGCGATTCTCATAAAAATTATTCATTTATTACTTGAATCTTTCCAAAGTTTTTTGCACTCTTGTACTTGTTTAAGGTCAACAATTTGTGTATTTTTGCTAAAATGATTATGTTAGTGTATTTATTGTCGGTCGTCTAGTTTTTTGAGTTTAATGATCATCACATTGCGCTTGCTCTGATATTCAACCCTCTACTCGTGTTTCATCATACTTTATATACAAATGATTTGGCTTCCCATATTTAGTAATATCCTAATCATCGAACATGGTGATATAGGTAAAAATATTTTTGTATTTTTACCTAACTTTTCCCATTTAGGTATGAGTTGAAATTTTTTTTGCATATTTATTTCAAATTAAGTTTCTAATTTCTTCCTATTTTACTAAAGTGACTTTTAACTACTTAAGTTACCCAGGTATTAAAAATATTAAGGAAAAATGGGTTGTGGAGGATCAGCAATGCTACCGATGCCTATAGAAGAACCAAAAAATTTAAAATTAGACATCCCTTCTGGTAAAATAAATTTTTTTAAGGAACGAGAAAGCCTAAAAATTATAATTTTTTTTTTATCTATCACATATATGATTTCATTAATTAATATGTATATATATATAAATATATATATATATTGAAAAGTGTTATGAATAATAATAATAAGAAATTTAATCCTTTTGCAACTTTTGTATACTTATTTATGTTAATAAATTCTTTTTAATATTAGCTTTTTTTTATTAATAAAAATTCAAAAGATAATTTTATAAAATTTATATAAAACATAGCCGTTGCTTTTGATGTTCCTCTGGATGAAGAAGAAGAGAGTCTTATTAAGAAACATCCTCCTAAGAGATTAAAATTGATGGAAGGACAACAATCACCGCCGTTAACTCATGAAATGTTATTAGATAAACTAGCAGAAGCTGAGCAAAGACGATTGCGGGTAAGGAGAATGCATTTAAATTTTAGCAAATTAAAATTATTATAAATTAGATGGACTCTATTCTAGTTAAATTACACTAAAAATTTTATCATCAAACAAGTACCAAAGTAAATATTTTCTGTTGACGTAATTTAGTGTTTGCTGTTCTTTGAACTTCATAAGAAATAGTAGCCACATTTATATGCAATTTATGATCATAATTCGTATTATTCATAATAAAATAGTACATTAAAATTCCAAGTTTATCTAAAAATATTTTAAATTCGTGATTTTAGACAATAAATGTTTTCAGTAGCAATTTTTAAAAAAAATGTTAGTGAATTATTAACATTTTTGGAAACATATTGATAATAATCTTTTTCATTTTGAGTTTATAAATACTCAGAAGAAGTAAATGCTAAGTTTAATATTTTAGATTTTAAATCAAAGAATCGAATCAGCAAAAACTATGATGAGACCGAGATACAATAGCATCAGTAAAGCTAACGGCGACAGTACATTAGCAGGAAATGAAGATGTGGGTGAAGAATCTTAATCATATCACTTGTAAATAGGAATTTTATGTTGGTCAATTTATGAAGTTTTCGTTGAAGTTTGCATTTAGCTAACGTTATAAAACATTTTTATTTTTACTATATCAAATATTTATCGTTATTGATCGTAAATAATTTTCATTGTTACCACAGAGAATATCTTAGAAAATATCTTGATTTTTCAATTTAATTAAGAATAAAATGAAATATAAACTTAAAAAATAGATATATGTTGTGTAGTTATGTAATTGTTCTTAGGGTTGTTTAAAATTACCTAATAAAATGATTATTATTAGTCGTCATCGAATTTAATAGAATAATTGAAATAAAACGGTTGATTTTTGGAAAATTTTCCTGTTCTTTTTAATTATTATTTAAGAATAGTACGAACAACAATTGTAAATGTGTACCGTTAATAATTTCACTAATGCTGTTTTTATTAATTTTTTATCTCATTTGTCAAAAATTGTATTTTTATTAGTAAAATTGATAAATAACATATAGTTTTATTATTTAATGTTTTTCGTGAATTATTTCGTTAAAAAACATTAAGAAACCAACTAATGTTTTTTATTATTGAAATTATGCAAGAGAATATTCTTAAAATGTACTATTGAGATATATTTAGAATAATGAACGTTAATCATTAATTGCCCTTTTTTTATGTATATACCCTTAACTTATCGAGGATAATGATTAATAAGCATTGATTTCCTGACCAATACGGTCTATTCTAACTAAAATTAAAATATTAGGCATCATTATCTCTAAATCTGTATGCAAAAGGTAATCTATCACATTGTGACAGTTTACCTTTGAATTACAGCTATTTTAAATAGTAAAAACTCACACATATTCATTTTTTACTTTCAGATGGCTATTCCAGCTTGTTAAAAATTAAATATTCTTAACAAGTTCTCATAATATTGAGTGCAGCTCAATATGATTAACATATGGGTAAAATGAATAGTTATACTAAACATAAAAGTAATATTTTGTTTTAATAATTGTTAATAACTATTATACTTAAATATTATATTATTTTATATTAACATGTTTTGTTCAATTTTCTAATATAATAAACACTTTTTTACTGTTTAATTTTGTTTATTGCTCTTTATATTTTAAAGTTGGACAGTATGATATAACAGCAACTGTTTGAAAACCATTAGCTTACACTTACAAAACTATCAGTTTTTTCTCCATTAGTACTACAAAACTACTGATGCAATGAGAATTCTGAAAACAATTTGTAATTCAACATTATGATACTAAATATCTGTTGGGCTACTTTTTTGAAATTGTAATGTTTTCAGTACAAAAATTTATTTGAAAAAAAAATAAAAATTTTCAAAAATGTAACCTGTATTTTAAGGGTCAATAGAATAATAATGAATAGACAAGAATATGAGAAGTGCTAGAAGTAGTACGAAAAGAAAGACAGCTAATGAAAGTGATTGAATCAAGATAAATAAAGTTAACCGGACACATCATCCAACACAATAACTTTATAATCAACATCTTAGAAGGAAAAATAACTGTGAAGAAACCAAGTGGACATCCAAGAAAACAATATTTTGAAAATATCTTGGAACTCATGAACTGTGCGTTTTTGTTTCACTGAAGAATTTGACGTCAAAGATAAGTGACTTCAACGACAAGGCATTGCCTTTAATGTATGATGATAATGGGAATTATAATTTCTAATAATTGACCTGACCGATACTTAAGTAATATGATTCTGAATTCATATCTATTTTCAGGATTATTATCGCATCAGTAGTTTCGTGGTACTAAACAAAAATTGGTTATTTTTGACAAAAAAATGGTCGATACCCAGACGCCTTAACATCTCATTATCCTGTTTTACTGTTTCTGGGATATAATACAGCTGTAACATATTATTCTTGATTATGATATTATCTACAACCATGGCATTCAACAACTTTAATCACTAATCCATCATCCACTAGCCAGCACTTGCTGCTGCTACTGCTGTTATTCAGCAACTTTTGTAACGTAACGTGTAATTTAATTATAATTTTTTTAAGGATAATAATAAAAATAGATCATATGGTTTTTAAAGGGAGCAGTATTTATTGTTGCCGCTATTAAACAAAATCATAATTTGATATGCATTATGAACTTTATCGATGTTATGTCTTTACAAGAGAATATAACAGATAATGGTAGAAAGAGAAAAGTACACAGATATCGAGTGTAAAATAAAGCATTGGCATTTATGAATATTGTCGAATATTGATAGTATTACTATACTATCAATAATAGTATAATAATACTATTATTGATTTAATAATCAAAATATTTGAAAATGTCCATCTCTAGTTTATATTTAAAAAACTTAAACTGATACTATTTTACAACTGTGAGAAGAAGGATAGATTAAATTTTTTTTTGAAAAAGACAGAACATAGGATACTATTAATTCATGAAAAGAAAAAATTATATGTTTTATAATTTTAATGATATTGCTTGGGCATAGTTAATCAAACACTTAGTATAATATTAGTCCCCAAAAAACTATAATTGTCGGTCTGCACAAAGTCTATTTTTATTGAAACATACGTGATACACATTTGTTAGATATTTTTTACAGTGTAGATACAATCTATTGATCTAAAAAAATAGTTTATGTTTAGTATTTCAATGTTTGGATATTAATGTTAAAAAAAGGATAAATATGAAGAAAAACACGTGTAGTTTTTTGGTAAACATTACAATAATTTGAATAATACAACAATAATTTTTTTTATGAATATTATAGGGGATATTCTCAAAAATACTCTCTAAAAATGAATGTAAACAGATTTGGAACATAATCAACAATTGATATAAAAAACAATTTGACATGCGTAATTGGTCTTGTTGAAACTCTTATTTTTCTCAAGTTTTCTACTGGATTTTCGTTCGAATAGCGTATCAATAAAGAGTTTATTGTATTTTTTAAATGAAAAAAAAATTCTGAATTTTCTTATTTTTGACGGCTGTCTAATTTTGTGATATTTTTCTTTTGACGTATAGTTTATCAAAATCGGCATAGTGACAACTCGGTGTCAACTTTATATGAATAGACGAAAAAAAACATCATGATAAAATTATGTCTTTTTAGATACCTATCGAAGCTAAAATGTATTTTGTAAGATGGCATTTGTTCACAAAAGTGATATAGAATATTATTAAATCGTGAAATATTGCAATTTGAGACATTTGCTAGAATAAAATTTTATTTAAAGTAAAGTACCGATGTACCGTTCTTTTTGTTGTATAAGGTTAGGCTCACATGGACGCACATAATACTGCGAATTGAATTATTGTTATTACGATATGGATCGTTCAGTTCAATATGAAACGGCGATTGGATGGACCCAATATTTTCTTTCTTCTTTTTGTCTTCGTCTTCTCATTCTTCGATATACAACCCACCAACACACAGCATCTGACACGTCCATTTCCGTTGAATATATAACAACTGTATGTAACAAGATATTTCGACTTTGATGCACGTGTTTGTGCGTCCATGTGAACCTAGCCTATGATTTTGTAAATTGATTGTCATGTTAAACGAGTATACCACAATTTTCTGCTTTGGTCAAAAGAAGTAAGAAAAAAATATTAGGTCAAATAATGTACATATATATATGTAAATATGTATATTGTGGTAAGAAGTGTCATTTCTTTAGGGATTACCTGAGAAAAAATATTTGGGGTCACGTTTTTTTTATTGTCTGCAACAGAGCGAGTAATATTAGGTAAACATTTTGACTTTTGTTTGATGTTTTCTTTTTTTTTATTAACAGACGTGGGGTTAGCATCAGAACGTGATTTTTGTTATAACACATAAAAATGTGTTTTGTAAAGGACTGTTTTGGTAGGGATTGGGTATAAGTGCATGTTTGAGGGTTTGTTGTTAAGTCAGTGATGCGTTGAATTTGTTAGTGTATTAACGTTCATCTGTATTATTGTATTTGTATAGTATAAATTGTAACATTTAATAATTTTAATGCTTCTACCAAACAAATTTGGTAGAAACATTAGAATTATTAGATTTGTTACTGCCTGTTTAAATTTATAAGTTTAATGACTTTAAGCGGAAGAAACTGTTAAACCAACAAGTGTAAAAAATTTCAAATCAAGGGTGTAACATGACTACTATATGGAACCACACAGCGACAGACATATTGTTATGAGCTTTACGGTTTTAAGAAGACAAATGTAATGATTGATCCGTCTATGTGACAGAAGATTTCGGTGTAAACGACCATCGAATTAACATATGGTATACTATAGATGTTTGAGGATAAAGTTATGTATTATTTTGCTCTTCAACCGGTGGTCGAATACGGAAGGATTTCACCACTTTGTCAGACTCGCACTTGTATAAAGAACACAAGTTAAATTAATGTTTAGTAAGTTATTATTGTTTTTATTACATTTTTATATAGAGTGTTCAGTAAGTAAGGAAACGGGTTTCTATTGTTCTCATTGTTTATAACGACGGACCTTTTTCCTTAGTTACTGAATATTCTGTATATTAGAGAGCCCTCTCTATAACAAACGTTTTCAAAACGTTATAGTTGTAACATTTTAAAACGCCAAAAAACGATAACTGCAGAGCAATAAATGTCTATCATAATTTTTCCTTCAGTAACAAAAAATTAAATGAAGCACAAAGGGTATAAGGATATCTCTCAGCTATGGGATTAAAATTCCAAATTATGTAACGTGATGGCTTTGCTCCTACAACCCTATTGATTTAAATTATCTCGTTTGTCCACTTAACAAAATGTTTTTAGGCTTTTATATATTATGTAATAGTTAATTTATTAATCTATTCATTAAACTTAAAAGTTATTAAACTATTTTAATTTTCATATCAGTATGCATTAAAATAAAACTTTTAGATGTACAATAGAAATAATCTGTTAAAATATTAGTTATAAATACCTAAAATTATCACTATGCCGGTTAAAAGGCTATTTGCTGTTTGCAACAATATTTATACTTTTCAGGAAAGATAGAAAACAATTTGGTTTTTTTTTTATATTATGGCTTGTAGTTTTACAAATAGCCCTTCATTTTTTAAGTATGTATTACAATACAGTAGTCTTAAAGACGAAAAAATCTTCTTTAAAATTTTATTGGTTTTTGATTTTTAGTAGTTAGTTACTTTTTGGTGTATACGTCAAAATTAAAAAAAAATTGTTGGTGCTGAACACAACAATAGTAAAGTTAATTAATACTCACTCAAATAAATTAGAATGCAATTTCATAATATTTTAATGCTTACAATAAACTTTTTAATACCTATTAAATTGAATGGCGTTAAAGAGAGGCAACTAATCCTCAAAATTAAAAAAAACGAAATCTATGTGAGTCCCCTCAAGTGTGAGTTTTTCAAATCTTCATGTAGGAATGAAAAAGCAAAATATATATGAATAAATTGTTCATTATAATATATTGAATATGGAAATATTTGTAGTAAATTTATTCAATGAATAAAAATAACAAAAAAAAAAAAAATACATAATGATAGAAGTAAAATTTTGTTTATGAAGTGGCATCAATAAACATATTTATTTACATATTATTGAATATCAATTATTATTATATTTTTTACAAATTTACAACTTTTCTCTAGTTGATTGAAAGTTACATTTTTTGTAATTTGTATGAAATTATTAAGTTCTTTAAAATACGTTATAAGCTAATTAAAAATAGATTTATATGATTATATTTTAAAATAACCATTATTATTATTATTTCTTTTTTTTTTTGAAATCTAGTACATTTAAAAAAATTAATTAAAGCTAACTCTAAATTAACAAAATTCTTTTTGTTTTGAGGTACAAAATGTTTACATATTTTTATTATGGTTTTCTTCTTTTTTTTTTTTTATTTATGAATACGAATTATTTACAACTTATATAACTATCATTGTTTTTCAGAAGTGTCTTATAAGGGTCCTGTTTTTATTTTCTGTATTAATGTATTCACATTACATAACTATTCAATTTCTACGTAAAGATGATTTCTTTTTCGTAGTGTTTTTTTTGTCTTGGAACTTTTCTTTAAACCAAGTTTAATTTTTCTTCTAGAATTTTTTATTGTTTTTATTAGTTTGGTTACAATATGTATTTCTTGTATGCCAGTAGGAGCGGACGGTCTGTCGTAATTTAAAATAAACTTTGTTGTAGTTTAAAAAATAATAATAAGAAAAAGTGTAGTAGGAATCATATGTGGTATTAAACTTTGTGGTGTTTGCTTTTCGAGACTTTATCGGGGCAGTGTGGTTCAACAGTCTATTATTGCTTGACGTGACATGCACATTAAATTGGAATAATTTTACCTGAATTATGTGATCCTTTAACAGTGCAGTTTTTACTTGTGGAATGATAATAAATATACAAACTCGAATGATCACCAATTTGTATACAATGTCTTTAATATGTTTATTATCATAAACATATAAAACATTGATAGAAAAACTATCAATACAAAATTGACATGAGAAAAAAATCATACAATAAAATATTATAATCAGTTTTTATAAGCACTATTCACACAAAAGGTATTTTTACAATTTTTACGGATAGATGAAAGAGACCCGGACGATAGTCGCGACGTGCTCGCATTGGGGTAAGGTCGAAACAGGACAAAAATTACTAGCCCAGGGATTTTCTTGGTGCATTTCCCAGGTCTCTTCCATAGATGTGCATAATAATCGTTCATCTCTCATTGGGTTTCACATTTTTAGGCCTTTTATAATATGTTTATATTGTGAAAGGGTTTCTTTAATTATGGAAAATAAGAGTAACATTCGACTGTTTGATATTTTATTATTTAGCGTTTTCATGTGTTGTGAAGGAGCGGATTTTTTGTGGCGTGTTCGTGTGAGTTGAGTGTTTGGCTGTTTTAGAGGATAGAAAGTTATAATTGTGTTTTGTATTTTATGTATGGGGTCTATTACAACAGGTCTTATTGGTGAAGGGTTTGTAAATTGATTGGCATCATAGTTGTAATGTTATCTGATATTGCTTTTCCATGTTGCCTTCTGATTCCTGCCATTGGTTCTGGATTTGGCATTGGTGGCTGACCACCGGAGATTCTGTTTACTATTGCTAGAAACCATGGTCCACAATCATATAGGTTTTTTTGATTCGTAGTTTCTCCTTTAAAGATATATCACAATGATGTAGTCCCACATTTGTTGCGTTCATGTTCGAGCAAAAATTACTGTAATCGTTCAACTTTCTTGCCATTGTGACAGTCCAAACTATCATAGTAAACAATTTCTTTCTTGTTTACATGCACAGTAGCAATGATCCAGTGATTGTCGTTGATATGTATTGGCGCCATCAATAATTTTTTTGAAAATATTTCATACTTGAACTTGGCATTGATTATATCTATGTCTCTCCTTTCAATACTTGGGTTAAAAAAAGAATCGAAGGCATAAATGTTGCCGTCGCTTCTTTTAACAACGAGGTTCATAAAATGATAGATAGTTTCATCATTGTTCAGTAATTCTCTAGTGTTGAAAGGCATGTTTGCTCCCGAAGAAGTTAATTTAAGTAATTTAGTCAATATTCATAAATTTATGTAATGAAAAGAATTGGGACATGAACATTCTTTTTGCTTATAATGTAGAGGTTATTTATGAGGAATCCATAACGTTCATTAATAGTGTCATTGCCGGAAGAATATCCATAGTGTATGGTAATATAGATACTCTCTCTGCCTGATGAAATAATTTGATATTTCTGATTGTTAAATTATTTACCTCTAAACTATGAATGGGAGAGTTCATAATTGTCTCCTTTATAATTCCCCCTGTTATCATACTATTACCATCACAATTTTTGATGCCAAATGATGCTATAAAAATATTGGTATTAATTTTTTTTAGATATGGTGATGTTACAATATTTAATACTTACAATATTTTTGATAAAGAAATATTATTCTTTGAAATAACTCGGAAAAGTGTTGTTTTTGATTTTTCTTTTGGTTTTTTTGATTCGTAGTTTCTTCTTTAAAGATATATCACAATGATGTAGTCCAACATTTGTTGGGATTTAAAGTTTTGTTGGCATTTGAAGTTAATTTAATTTTTATTTTGATTGCATCATTCTTGAGGTAGTAGTTTATACAAAATTAAAAAAATATTTACATGAGTGTGGAATTTTTACAATATACATATTCTATTCTAATACTAATAATTAAAATTATATACGTTGTTTTCCCTTTTTTTTACTGGCTTATTGCTAATAATAACATATAACCTAAACGCTTAAATGAATTATAAAATAATTAAGTTTATATACATATATAATATTTTTTTTAGTTTCATTATAGTCAATGTTAGTATTAAAATCTATATCTTAAATCTTTAGTATTAAATTTTTAGAAAATTAAAATAAATAAATATATATTTTTGATGATATAAAATAATTTTTACGAATAATTTAAAATCTTTTTTATATTTTTTTTTATTTTAATAATTATCAATTTAAAATTCAAAACTAATAATCTTAATTAATTGTTCGTATCCTATTGTGCGTGATACGTATTTTAGTAAGCATTCAACCATTTGCACATCATGTCTAGGATCGTGTTCTAATCCAGTATGTTTCTTGGTACATTCNTCCCTTTTGCTCTTTGTATAGACGCAAGCAAAAAAATTGTGACAGAAACATTCTTTCAGCTATGATATAGATATTATTCATGGGTAATCCATAACATTTCTGAATGGTGTTGTTGTCAGAATATCCATAGTGTATAGTGATAGGGATACCCTCTCTGCCTGTAATGATGTTTTTTATATTCCTAATTGTTAGATTGTTTCCTTCTAGGATATGAATAGGGGAGTTCATGATAGTTTCTTTAATAGCCCCCCCTGTTATCATTGTATCATCATCACAATTTGTGAATGATGCTATGAAAATATTGGTATTCATTTTTTTTAGATATGGTGATGTTACAATATATAATACTTACAATATTTTTGATAAAGAAATATTATTCTTTGAAATAATCATTGTAAATTATGTTCTCTATTGCATTGCCATTTAAATTATTGTCCCAAGCCTCCATAGACAATTCCAAATTTTCTATGTCAGAAGGTATTTGGTGTGGTTTTCGTGCTAAGTTTTTTTTTATTTTAATTTTTAGATTCTCCAATTCTTTTGTGTCAATTATGGTTTGGCTATGCGGTAATAACCGTACAGCTCTCCCATCCAATGGCAAAACCATTGGTAAAGAACCCTTCGTAGTTTCTTTAATTGCACCCACCATGAGGACATAATGATATTCATTATATAGAATGAATTCAAAATCAATTATGAAAAATATTGGATCCATTCTGTATATATTTTTGGTATAGTAATTTTATTAAATTATTTGAAAATAAAATTATTGTTTTTAAAAATTTAAGAACACTTATAAAAGATATTGTTATATCAAATATTGTGATATTTGTGAATGACGCTATGAAAACATTAGTACTCATTNAGAGAGAGAAAAAAAATAATAATTGAATAAATTTGTTAATGATGTAGTAAATTTAAATTTAAATTAAATAAAAGGAAATTTTTTTTACTTACAATTTTTTTGAAGTTGTTTAACTGGCTAACTCTGAAGGTAGATACATATTAAATGTTAAAAGCGACATCTTGACATAAAGATAATGGAGTTGAAAAATTTTGGGTGGGATGTACCAAGACGCTCAAGGGTTTAGGCACTCTATTGGAATGCCTTCGTATTATGACAAAAGAGTGAAAGAAAATTGTTATTGGAGTAAGATTTAATAATGTTAAAATTAGAACTGCAAATGCCAGAGTTTAAAATTTTGGATTATTTTTTATGTTAATTAGGTTATATTAGGTACTGTATATTAATAAAGTTGGTGCTATAAAGATATAAGTTTATTTTATTATATTTATATTTTCCAAGAAAATAATTGTGTGCAACATTCTCTCTGCATCTCATATAAAATGGCTCCCTTTTTAATATTTCGTACCAATGATTGGCACTTAGAGATATTTTTATGTTAATTTCTTTTATTTGTGGAGATTGGTTTGTGTTATTGAAAAACATTTTTATGTCACGCATACATCTATCTGTATTATGAACTAGAATGTGATAATCTTCATCAACTTTTAGATCGATAAATGAGAATTGTATTTTATTATTTAGCCAAAGAGGTTTCTGTACTATTTTTAAATTATATCTATGTGATATGGCATATATGAATTTCTACTTCGAGATAATTCAAACGGTTCTGAATATTTAAATATATTTTGTGGATATCTAACTTCTAAATCATTGGAATTTTCATATATTATTTTTTTTATTATTTTAAATTGTTCAATTTGTGGATAATCATCGATTAAACTAATTTTTCTTAGAGCTTGATCTCTGCTTTTTTTTTAATTTGTTTAAATGCATTATTTTGGATTTAATAATGATAAGTAAATAAGAGTTTTAAAAGTATTAAAATTTTATATGCATGTATTATTATAGATATCGGAAAATGTATTCAATTGTTTGGATCAAATATTATGAAGTTAAAATATTCTTGTTCTAAATTTTTAGACCTATAAGTAATTTAATATATATTAGTAATAATATTCGAGATTAATTTAGTAATTTAATAGAAATGGACATAATTGTCAATGATTAGTATTTTTTTACTTATTTGTAAAATGCGATATATTGTATGTTTTTATACAGTTTTTATTCAGTAAGTATACTGACTTACTGAACACCCTGTATATGAACATTCAATATTAAAATTATGTTTGATTTACATTATTGTATTATTTTTTTTGTTATTTATATTTAACTAACCCGGTAAACTTTGTTTTGTTATATTGTTCTAGAGAATTATAGTGTGAAAAATATTTAAATTATTAAAAAATATGTGGGGATGGTGAGTTTGAATAACATTGAAAAGTATGCTAATATTTTATGTTTATTTTTTCATAGAATAATGGATAACGGATGAGATTACGTGTTATTGTGGAATGTGGGGATGACATTAGGTTTTAGGGCAGTGATCGTTATATATTTTTATAATATTTCCATTGTGTTTATCACGTTTGTGTTTCGGATATTTAACGGTTCATGAATGAAATGTGATATATTACAAGTAAGATATCATGTTATATCGTTATAATTTGTGAAATTGTATAGATTTCATGTTGTAAAATTGTGAAAGGTTTTAAAATTTTTGAAAGCGTGTATTTTTTATAGGAACATATGTGTTTATTATTTACGTTAATATTTTAGGTAATTTGGAAATGAGTATTATTGTGTATTATACCAATGTTTGTACAAGAGAAATAACTAAAGCATTTATTAATTAATTATAAGGATGGTTTTCTCTAATGCTGATGAGTAGGGACGGCGCCAGAATTTTTTTCCTTGGGGGGCGGTAAAAGGCAAAACAATTTTTTTGAATGGGCGAACACAACACTACATTTATCGGTAAAATATTTTTTAATGATTTATACAGGGTGTTCAGTAAGTCAGGAAACGGGTTTCTATTGTTCTCATTGTTTGTAACAATGAGAACAATAGAAATCCGTTTTCTGACTTACTGAACACTCTGTATATAGTATACCAATTAACTTTGCATAACCTACTACATATAATATAAAATTTTAACACACTAGTAATATTTAAAATGAAAATGCAATCAATGAAAAATGTATAAAATACTTATAGTAAGTAGGTACGTTTATAATAAGAAGTATGTACTGTTAAATACTTACTTGTGTTGATATCTAAATTAATTTGAACATCCCACGATTGCGTCAAATTTGAAATATCAACCACTGTATTTGTGGTTTTTTTTTTTTGTTATCCATTATTATTAGTTGACCGTTTGAAACACATGTTTAAGGACCAAAGTAAGAATCAATTTTTCGAGTACTCATGTTGGAATTTTGTTTAATGTATATTGGATTTTATAGTTAATTTATTAAAATGTATTGAGGAAACAATTTTATTGAACGATATATCGAACACAAAAACAGTATACACACTACGCGATAAAACAGCAAGAGTACCTACAGTACCTATTACGAACTACAATCGAAATTCGAATGATGTAATTTATAAAAAATTGAAAATAAATAAAAATAATCTTTTAATATCAGTTTAATACTCAGCTGATAGTTGTCATTTCGTCTATCGTTCACTTGTCGTCGTAATTTAGATAATAAAATTGAAAATAAAACATAAAAAATACATATATACATATGCACCAACGGCAATATTACCACACATACACAACTGTGAACTGTACATACTGTACGAGGACACGACATGTAGAATACCCACGATTAACATAATTTAGACGAACGTGGTTAATAATAATTCTTTTGAATTTAAGTCGTACAAATTTCAATGATATCGACATTACGACAAATGAAAACTATTTCTATATTACTTAACGATAAAATATGATTATTTACTCTCTTCAATAATACGGATCATATTATACAACAATAACCAATAAATCACCCATTCAAATCAAAATTTTTGTGGTGACTAAGGGGGCGTGAGAAGGGCGAGAATCTGTTCATAGGGGGCAAGGGCCCCCCTTTTGGCGCCGTCCCTGTTGATGAGATTGATTATGTTGTGGGATAAATTTCATTAAAGTTTGGATTGTTTGAAAAATGAACATTATGAGGTTTATTTTTTGTTTGAAATTTAATACTATTTATGTTCTCTTTTTTGTCTAGGAAAGGTGCTATGGAAATAATTTCAGTATTCTGTGTTTTAGAATAATTTTTAGAATGTGTTTTATGTATAAGAAAATTAGTAAAGCTAGAACATAATCCTACCAGGAGCTTAAAACTCATGCCAAAAGTATCATATAAAATAGAGAGGTTAACAAAGGTGTTTAAACAGGTTAATATTAATTTGGTTATAATATATATAATATATTATTTTTTTTTTGAAATTGTTTTTATTTTACTTTGTATTGACTAATCTTTGAATGAAGGTTCTATTGATGATGAAACTCTTTCTTCTCTATTGTGATAGGGTTTCATTCGCCTAATGTGAATTACATCTCTAGTTAATTTGTTATTTAGTGTTAACTCTACAATATAATTAACATAATTTAATTTTGAAATAATTTTAAATGGTCCCCTATATTTATGTGCTAATTTAGGAGTTTTATTATATTCTTGAAATGGAAAGGTTATTAAAACTAATTGAACAGGTGAGTATTGGGTTAGTCTATGTGTTTTATCATAATATTCTTTTTGTGTATTTTGGGCATGTTTAATTAGTACTCGTATTGTATCTCTAACATGTTTAAGCTCTTCCTAAGATTGTTTTATATCATATGTTAATGTTTTAGGTATTATTTGCAAATCTATAGTTATATCTGCAAATCCATGTAATATATAAAATGGAGTATATTTTGTTGAGATTTGTGATCTATTATTGTAACTAAAGGTGATATAAGGAAGGTAATATGACCAACGATTTTGGTTTTCATTAACATAATGCCTGATGGCTTGACATAATATACCATTAACTCTTTCTGTAAAACCCTGTGACTGTGGTGCATAAAAAGAAGAGAATATTTGTTTAATACCAAAATGTTTTTACAGATATCTGCTAATACGTTATTTTGAAAATTACTATCTCTGTCATTGGTAAAATATCTCATTACACCATAGGTAGTTCTGAAATTTAATAAAAAGTTAATTACTGTTTTAGCATCAGCATTTTTGGTGGCTTTTGTAAAAATATATTTAGAACTTTGACAAGTGAATACAAGTATGTATCGTTTTTGATTACTACTTGGAAAAGGACCGGCAAAGTCTGACTGATTCAACTTAATAGTTTACAATATAGTAAAGGAATGGGTTGCAGAATACCTGCTGGTTTAGCAGTTGATTTTTTGTTTATTTAACATTCATGACAAGTTCTTATGAAATTTGCTACATTTTTTATTAAAGAGGCCAAAAATATTTAAGTTGAATTTTTTTGATTGTTTTTGTTATACTTAAATGTTCTGAGAGAGGTGGGTTATGATTCCCAGAAATTACTTTTTCAATTAGTGATTGAGGAATTACAATTAAATTATTAATGTTTTGCTTAGGATTATGTTGTATAAGGTATAGAGTAGCATTTATTAAAATGTATCTTCTAGACATTTTACGAATTTTATGAGATATTTCTTGGTTATTTAATACATTGATTATATTTTGACAAAATATACCTGTTTCCTGATGTTTCTTGAAATCTATGTTTATTTGGATTTTTATATTATTTAACTTAAATATTTTGTTTAAACTATTGTTATTAAACGATTCATTAAAATTCTCTTTATTCATTATATTACTAAAATTATTATGCGCTTCATTATTTTTTAAATTTTTAATATATTTTAGAGTGATCTTATCATTTGGAACGGTTAATATACATTGCATTCGTATACGATTATTATTCTTATCAATATCGTGGCTATCATTATTATTAAAATCATCATTGTAAATAGTATGTTTATAAATTTTTTTATAATTATTTGTTCAATATTCAAAATTTCATTAAAGCCTGATTCATTTTTATTTTCCTAAGGTTCTAAGCTATATTTATTATAATAAAACATCATACTATCTTTCTTAGTAATTTTTTTTTTTTTAATGCCAAAATTTTCATTATAATCATATTTATTATTTAATCCTTTATTTATACCATCAAAATTTTCTTTTAAATTATTTATTTTATTTTTACCCATGTAATTTATATCAAAATTTATCTTACATTCTTTACTTATATTATTTATATTGTTATTTTTAAAATTTATATTATTATTGTTTTTGTAATTTAACATTTTTTTGTTAAATGCGCATAATTTTAACGTCAATTTGAGTATTATTGTAAATATCTTTTGAATAATTATTTTTTAATGTGTTAGAAGAATTAATAATATTTTTGTCTTTTGGGTTTAGGTAATTTTCATCATTGCAATAATCAAATATCACAGCATCTATAATATTCATTATACCTTCTCTAGAGAGACAGTCTGCTACTAGATTTTCCCTACCTGGTTTATGTTTTATAACAAAATCATAATCTAAAATTTTTAATGTTAGTCTAGCTATTCTAGCAGAAGGGATTTTTAAATTTTTATAATATTGTAAACTTATATTATCAGAATAAACTGTGAATTTTCTATTCCATAAATATTCCCTGAAGTATGTTATGCCAAATACTAATCCTAAGAGTTCAAGAGTAGTACTAGAATATGTTTTTTCTGAGTCTTATTTAAGTCTTTATATGATACTACTAATCTGTATGAATTTTTTTCTTTTTTCTTTACTAAAAAGGCTGGTGATACAAAATTTGATTTGGCATAAATAACTATATTGGCTTCCATTAATTTATCAAGTTAACTTTTTAGTTCTTGTCTTTGATCAGGGGATACTCTATGTGGTGAAGAGAATTTTGGTTCTTTTGTTTTGTTTTTTAATCGAATTTCACATGATTTTTGCAGTTTGAACTTTAGAAGTATCGGTTGTAAATACATGAATATATTTTTGTATTAATGATATTAATGTATTATGTTGATTTATAGTAAGATGTTCAGAAATTTTTATGGGTGTATTCTTTTGGTCGCTTATTTGTATTTTATTAACGTTGGAAATTATATTAATAATATTTTCTGTATGAATTATTTTTATTGGAATTTTAGAAGATTTTTTGTTATTTTTTATTAATACACTAGGACACTAATGTGTTCCATTTTGTAGATTATATTTAATACTATGGGGGTCATTTTGCCAGAGCCATAAACATAACCTATTTCAGTTTCACTAGAGTAAATATAGCAATCAAAATTTAAGTCATTAAATAAATTTGCAAGTTCATTATCGCGAAACCACCAGTAATTAGAAAGATCCGATAAATCTAATAGTTGACAAATCAATTTTAAATCAACAATATTTGTTGTACGATCACTGTTGGCTGCATTTACAAGACTATAAAGTTCACAGTTTCCATTACACTTTACATTCCCACCTATGGTATATCTAGAAAATGTGTTAAGAAATTCAGGATTAAAATCTTTGTCTATATTTTTTTTTCTAAAACTCCTTGAACTTTTTAATTTTGTCTGAATGTTAGATAAAATATTTTTTGATTTTGGTAGAATTTTTTGTTCATAAATCGGATTGCATATAAGAATTTCAATAGCTTCTTTATTAAATAATTCAAATAACATATCTTTAATTATGTCCCATTGTAAATGCGAATTAATTAAATCTAATGCGGAAATATAAAATTAATTTTAATATAAATAAATATAAATTAAAATAAATAATATAATATATATTTCTAAATATAGAACAAATTTGCTTTATTATATGTCTAGAATATTAAAATTTCAATTTTTTTTTGTAATTAAATTAAGGATTAAAAACGATTTATTTTTCTCTAATAATAAAATCTAATTCTAAGTTAACAAACTTTTTTTTTTTAATATATTTTTTTTTGTATTTTCAAATATTTTTAAAATCACTTCCTGAGTTTAAGTACCAAATGTCATATTCATCAATTGAGTTATTAATTTTATTATTTTGTGTTTCTAGATTATATTTATTTAGTAGTTTAATTTCAGAATAATCTGTCGTAGCCCCAATTTCTAATATTATATAGATTACGCCATAATTTAGACTACCTCTTTTTGGAGACTCTCTTCGATAATAACACAGTTTAATTTATAAATAAACACAGTTTCAATAGCTGACAAACTGTTCGAAGATTAAACAATTAAATAAATATAATTTAGAAATAAAAATTCATAACCCGGTTGATGATGAATACATCATATATAC